CCCACCATGTGGGGCCCTGCGGCCCAGCACTGGGCCAGGCACTTGCCCATCCCGGACCCCAGGCCTCTGCCCCCCTGCTGCCCTCCTTCCATGTGGCCGTGGGGTGCTGGGTCCCCAGAGGCCAGCGGAGAAGGCCCCGCTGGCCGGCAGAGCCCCCTGGGCTGTGGTCACGCTCACGCTGAAGGCCTCCGTCCCTCGAGCCCGCCCACAGGGTGAACTGGGACTGCCATGTAGCTGACAAGGTCCGGCCCCTGCCCAGACCCTCACCCCAGCACTCCATTCACAGACCCCTCTGGAAGGGTCCTTGGCACCCACCAGCCCAGCCCCTCATGGAGCTCCTGCAGGACTTTAGCCCTCCTGGACCCTTAACTCCTCCGAGACAGAGCTGCAGGGGTTGGGGTGCCCCTTGTAAGGCTGTGATTGCAACGACACCACGCTGGAGTCTGACTGCCTGGGGACACTGGACAGGACCACCTGAGTGTGGGGAGCATTGACCAGGCGCTGCTGTGTGTCTGGCGCCCCCTCCTGGCCATGGCCTGAAACTGCACTTCACCTGAGCTGAGAAAGTGAGGGGCAGGCAGGGGACCCACATCCCACCCTGCCACCTGCCCTGGCCCAGCCCCAGCAAAAACCTGTTTGCATCCCTGAAGAGGAGGTTTTCGAGGTAGGCCCTCGGGGGACATAAGTAACAAGCACTGTTCCCTCCCCTTTCCACAGGACCCTCACCAACCCACTCCTGCATGAATGTCTCCACTCAGGCTCCAGCGGACCCTCCCCTGAGAACCCGCTCCCGCCTCTTGGCCCCCAGGGGCAGCTTCACGGTGCAGGCCCCTCCCGGCCCACACCCAACTCAAGGACGCCTGTCGCTCTTCCTTCCCCAGATCTCGCACCCCCTGCCACCACCACCCACATCCACGTCACCCTCTTTGGGACCACGGAAGGGGCCCACCCTGGGGAGCACTGGGCCAGGGGTCCCTTGCAGGACATAAGGCAGCTCGGGGCTCTGCCGTGGTTCCGCTGTGCACAGAGCCAAGCACACGTGTTCAGCCAGCGTGTCACGTATAAGCCAGCCAGACACGTGGGGTGCTGTCTGCCTTCTCCCACACGTGCACACATGCAAACACACGCGTACATGCTCACAGGCACTCAGGCATGCTACTGTGCCAGCCACAAGAGGGCAGTCATCTCTGGGCTGACTGGCCCGAGCACCTGGCACAGAGCACCTCCAGTTCAAACACCCTCCGGGCCCTCGGGTCCTGCCAGCCCTGGGACAGTCAGGGGGTCTCTACCCTCCAGCACACCTGAGCCAGTCCCAGTCCTGGGGCACCCCAGAGCCTTACCACGACCTGCAAGACACTCGGAGATTTGGGCCTCACCCCCCCACCGCACACCTTTGTCCCTACGCCATCAAGAGTTCTCGGTTTCTAAACACCCAGAGCTCGGGCTTTGTCCGTGCTGTGCCCTCGGCCTGGAGTCCCTGCCCACACCGGGCCAGTCTGCATTCATCCCTAAGACTCCGTGGAGGCCTCCGTCACCTCCCCTGAGAAGCCCTCCTCCCCAGCCCACCTCAGTCAGGCCGGGCAGTTCTCCGAGGGGCGGGCGCCGGGAACGCCCTGGGCTTGGGTGTGGGTCCTGGGGCCCAGAGCACGTGGGGAGCGCTGTGGCTCCGGAGGAGGAACACCTGGTCCGGGGCCAGGATTCCGGGTGCTCCTCTTTCTTCATGCAGCCAAAGTGCAGTTTTCCCACACTCCCTCGGGACCAGGAAGCTCCCGCCCTCAGGAGCCCGTCCACGGAGCCTTCCACGGCAGTCACCGGGCGAGGTCTGACTGCTTCCTCCGGGGCCCTGCTGGAGGGAGAGGTGAGCGACCAGCCCCTGCCCGCCCCCCCAGAGGGCCCTGCCTGCCGCCTGCCCCAGGGAGACCGAGGCTCCCACCCCCTAACCTCTAACCCAGAAACCCGGAGGAGCCAGGTGGTGTCCCAGCCTCCTGGCCAGGTCTGCGGGGGCTCTGGAGCCTCTGGGGACAGTCCCGTGACCCCGTCCCCTTGGAGCAGGGAACCATAGGCTCCCATCCTCCGCCCAGGAGTCCTGATCTAAGACACCTGAGACGACGTGCCTCCCCCCCCCCCCCAGGAAAGCCAGGCTGGCAAGAGGCTCCGGCCCGGGCTCTCTGGATCTCAGTCTCTCTGAGACTGGCAGAGACCAGGCGCTCTGTCCTCAGACACAGACACACCTTCTCTGTTGCACTGTTTGGGCTGAACTCTTCCTCCAACACAGGCCCACTGTACAGAGCAGGGTGGGGCACGGGCCACGTGCCCTGCTGACCTCAGGCCCACTGCCCTGCCCCGGGCTCCCCGCTCTGCCCACCCACGGGGACACTGGCCTGCCCCCCGGTCCTCCCTGGCACCCAAGGGCGGGCTCGCAGGCTCCTGGCCCTGCTGGTGTTCTGCTCTGCTCTGTAGCTGACACATGACAGAGGGGACTTTGACATCTGGGCCTGTGGCCTGGCTCTGAGCTGCTGGGCAGGGGGCGGCTGGGTCCTAGATGGACATCTGGGCACTTCAGTGGAGAGCGGTGCCCGGCAGAGCTCCAGCAGGGCTCCGGGGGCGTCAGGCACCTGCAGCCCGCGCCAGCCCCCCAGCCCTGCAAGGGCCCTCTTGAATCCCCTGTACCTGCAGAGCAAGTGGCTCAGGTAGCCCTAACCAGGGGGCGGGGCCACCGCAGTGTGACAGCCAACATCCCTGTTACTCCTGGTTTGTGGGGGGAGGTTCCCAGAAATACTGGGCTCCCTGGCCCTTCTCTGGGTGTCTGTGCCCTTCCCTCCCCTCCTTCTTCCCGGCCCGGCCCTCGCCCCTCCCCCTGCCCACCCCGGGGCCGGACTGGACCCCCAGCGCTGCTGGAGAGAGCAGAGTTCCCGCCTCCCAGGCCCTGGGAGAAAGGGGAGCGCGGGCCCGTAGGGCCAAGTCAGGCCCGGAGGGAGGAGGCAGCGCAGAGGCGGGGGCTGAGGCGTGTGGGGCTCGGCCAATGAGAGCGAGGAGGCTGGGGGGCGGGGCCAGGGGAGGGGAGGGGTCAAGGGAGGGGCGGGGTCACGAGAGGGGACAGGGTGTCCCAGAGAAGGTGGGTGTCCCAGGTCCCTCTTGAAGGGCCAGAATCTCAGGTCACCCGAGAGGGTGGGACCCTGAGCCTAGCCCCGGATGAGCCAGGTTCGAATTCACCCAGGAGGGCTCACCCCACCAGACTGGTGCCCAGGCTGAGCGCTGCCAAAGAAGGTACCCAGTCACTGGGGCAAGGGCAGTCCCTGGCCGAACCCCTGAGGCATCAACCGCTGCCCAGCTAGGTGCCCCTGACCTGCTGCTCAGTCTCTGCCCTGCCCTCCAAACTCCCTGCACCCTGACGTGGGGGCAGCTGGGTGAAACAGGTCCCCTCTTTGCTGTCACCACCACTTCCCACCCCACCTCTGGGACATGGGCTCTGAAGGCCATTCCAGGGTCCAACTGTCTGGAGGAGCCAGGAAAATCATCCTTCCACTCGCAGCTAGCTGCTCCATGGGGTGCACTGTGGGCCTGAGGGGCCCCCTTCTGCTAGCTGCTCCATGGGGTGCACGGTGGGCCTGAGGGGCCCCCTTCTGCTAGCTGCTCCATGGGGTGCACTGTGGGCCTGAGGGGCCCCCTTCTGCTAGCTGCTCCATGGGGTGCACTGTGGGCCTGAGGGGCCCCCTCCTGCTAGCTGCTCCATGGGGTGCACGGTGGGCCTGAGGGGCCCCCTTCTGCTAGCTGCTCCATGGGGTGCACTGTGGGCCTGAGGGGCCCCCTTCTGCTAGCTGCTCCATGGGGTGCACTGTGGGCCTGAAGGCCCCCCTTCTGCTAGCTGCTCCACGGGGTGCACTGTGGGCCTGAGGGGCCCCCCTCCTGCTAGCTGCTCCACGGGGTGCACTGTGGGCCTGAGGGGCCCCCCTTCTGCTAGCTGCTCCATGGGGTGCACTGTGGGCCTGAGGAGCGCCCCTTCTGCTAGCTGCTCCATGGGGTGCACTGTGGGCCTGAGGGGCCCCCCTTCTGCTAGCTGCTCCATGGGGTGCACTGTGGGCCTGAGGAGCGCCCCTTCTGCTAGCTGCTCCATAGTGGTGGGGTACACGGTGGGCCTGAGGGCCCCCCTTCTGCTAGCTGCTCCATGGGGTGCACTGTGGGCCTGAGGGGCCCCCCTTCTGCTAGCTGCTCCATGGGGTGCACGGTGGGCCTGAGGGGCCCCCTTCTGCTAGCTGCTCCATGGGGTGCACTGTGGGCCTGAGGGGCCCCCTTCTGCTAGCTGCTCCATAGTGGTGGGGTATGCTGTGGGCCTGAGGGGCCCCCCTTCTGCTAGCTGCTCCATAGTGGTGGGGTATGCTGTGGGCCTGAGGGGCCCCCCTTCTGCTAGCTGCTCCATAGTGGTGGGGTATGCTGTGGGCCTGAGGGGCCCCCTTCTGCTAGCTGCTCCATAGTGGTGGGGTATGCTGTGGGCCTGAGGGGCCCCCCTTCTGCTAGCTGCTCCATAGTGGTGGGGTATGCTGTGGGCCTGAGGGGCCCCCCTTCTGCTAGCTGCTCCATAGTGGTGGGGTACACGGTGGGCCTAAGGGGCCCCCTTCTGCTAACTGCTCCATAGTGGTGGGGTATGCTGTGGGCCTGAGGGGCCCCCCTTCTGCTAGCTGCTCCATAGTGGTGGGGTGCACTGTGGGCCTGAGGGGCCCCCTTCTGCTAGCTGCTCCATAGTGGTGGGGTGCACTGTGGGAACGGGGTACTGGTGCCTCTCTGTGTAAGGAATGGGGCACTGAGCCTGGCTCATGCTGGGAGGAGGGCACCTGCCTCCAGTTCCAGGGGGCTGTGTGCCCAGGCACCGGGCCTGTCAGTAGTGGGGGAGAGGGCCACCTGCCAGGTTCTCCAAGGGCAAGGCTGGCCCAAGGTGGCCCGCAGGTGCTGGAGAGCCCAGGTGGGGTCCTGCAGCTGTGTCCTCCTTGCAGGCCCAGCACCAACTGCCTCCTGCCCAGCGTCTCAGCACCTCACCAGTACGGCAGGACGTTTGCCCCCTCCAGATCTGCCAGCCTCCTACGTGGATCCCTGCAAGGCCCCTGGCAGCACCTGCCCAGGATGCTGGGAGCAGGAGCCCCCCGGAGCCAGGGCCCTGCTGGAATGCGTGCCCTGGGCCGGCCGTGGGTCCTCCTACTCACCTACCTACTGACCACGCTGGACCTGACCAGCCTCTTCATGCAGTTTTCTGTCCTGCCGGTGAGCACCCCTCCCCAGGGAGCCAGCTTGCCCTATGGTCCCTCATCACCCATCTGTGCCACAGCAGGGGCCAGGGTGGGAACCTGATGCCACCCAGGCCCCTCGCTGGGGGAACCCAGGGACTGTGCCTCCTGACACCCACCAGCATGTCTGCTGGCCCAGCCAGCCCTAGGGAGGGGCTGCAGGGAGCCACCCGCCCTCCAGCCCTCAACTGTGTGTTCCTCCTGCCCCACTTGGGGCTTTTGCCCTCTCGGTCCCCGCCCCTCCTCCCCCACACGCACCTGCTCATCACTTCCAGCTGCACAGGCCTCTGCTCAGGCTCCTGTAGGGGGGCCTCCAGACCCCCGCCGGGCACCCACAGCCGCACCCCTCCATCCCCGGCCCCAGGAGGGTGGTGACAGCGGCAGCGGAGGACCAGAGAGTTGCTGGAGTCGGGGTCTGTGGTTAAGGCTGAACTTCAGGAGTGGCTGACGGATTGGACAGGGGTGTCCGAGAAAGAGGGAGGTCAGGATGATGCGGGGGATCTGGACCTGCACCCTTGGAAGGGAGGAGGTGTCAGCAGTGACACCCATCTTGGAGGGAGACCAGAGGGGACGACGCTGAGGGGAGAGAGGTGCGGGGACAGGTCGCTGTGCACCGCTGCTGAGCCCAGCGCCCTGTGGGACACGGTTTTCCCAGGGGGCTGGGCTCCCGGTGAGTCGAAGTAGACGTCAGGTTTGCAGGGAAAGGCGGGAGGATGCAGAGCAGATGGGATGGAGAGGAGGGAGGAGCAGGGAGGCTGGTCTGGGTGGTGGGGGCGGGGTGACCTCTGGGAAGGGGCAGGGAGACCTGGGGTGGAAGTGGACTGAGAGAGGGAAGGGGAGGGAGCGGAGAGACTAGGCAGCGCTTCCGAGGGGTTTGGTAGCCAAGGGAACAAGGGGGGGGTGAAGAGAGAGCAGGGGTCAGGGGTCATCCTCTAACAGGGGAGAAGGGGCTCTGGGAGCTCCCGCAGAGCCTGCCCTCAGGAGGCCAGAGGCTGAGACAAGCTGGGGGAGGAGGTGGCTGCAGAGGGATTCAGGACAGAGAATGGACTCACTAGGGCCATGTGTGACCACTGTCCAAGTGCTGTGCAGACAGACAGACGGCCGGTCCAGCGGCCCAGGTTAGCGGAGGAGCAGACAGGGAGGAGACAGACTGCCGTGGCCCAGGAGGACGCGGCCCTGGGCCGGGGCAGAGCGCACAGGAGACAGAAGGACGCAGTGGGGTCCCGGCTGGAGCTCCAGGACAGCGCAGGGCGGGCTGGGGGGCGGTGCTCACTTCCTGGGGCCCAGAGGGTCAGTCCTGTCTCCCGGTTCTGGGGGCCAGAAGTCCAAATCCAGGTGTTGCACCTCCCTTTGAAGCCTAGAGGTCTGGTGGCAACAGACAGTCCCCGGCTGTGGCCGGCCTGCTCCGGTCTCTGCTCCGTGTGTCCAAATGCCCCTTTACGTGGGACTCCGGTCCACCCTCGTGACCTCGCTGTAACATGATTACCCCCGGAAAGACTCCACTCCCATTGGGGTCACCTTCTGAGTGCTGGGCATTGGGACTTCAACATACCTTCTGGGGGGACACAATTCAGCCCAGTATAAGTGGGGTCATTGGAGGGAGGGGTGCAGGGTAAGGGGCTGCTGCAGGACTACTCATGGCAAGGAGACCGGGGTCCCCACCTCTGCCACTTCCCTGCATTTTGCTCCCCAGCTGGGCCCCCTGCAGGAGGGCTGGAGACCCACCGAGCAGGCCCAGGGCCTGCTGGGAAATGGGCCAGCTCCTGGAGGCCATCAGGGCACTTTGGGACAGTCCCTGCTGGCCTGGAGATACTACAGTCTTCACCACACCGCTCTGAGTAAGCGGAGCCAAAGGGTGTGGGTAGGGTGCTCCCCTCACCCCTGCGAGGTGCACCCCACAGAGGGGAAGGGGGGCCGGCAGCTGCCTTCACACAGCCCTGCCTGGACCCTGGACCCAGCGGCCCCCACAGGCCCCCCTTCTAGGTGAGCACCTGAGTCCCCTCTGGGGCAGTGATGAGCCGTCAGAGACAGACCCACGGTTCCCTCCCACCCTGACCACCAGGGACCCCGGCTTCCAGATCCTGGGGTCCTTCCCAGACCCTGCCCATGGGCCACTCCTGTTTCAGTACCTGTCCCGGAGGCTGGGCCTGGACTCGGCCGCCTTCGGCTACCTGCAGACCACCTTTGGCGTCCTCCAGCTGCTGGGCGGGCCCGTGTTCGGCAGGTACTGTGGGTCCCCCGAGCGCCCCCTGTTCGCAGAGGGCACACTGAGGCACCGGACAGCTTTAGCCCCTTCCAGGCCGGGTGTCCCCGCCCATGACTCCCACCAATCCCGGCTTGTGAGAGAGGGTTTCATGGTGAGACTCTCAAGCTGTTAACGCCCAGCCCCACTGAGCTGGGGGCCCCACCAGCAACTTTTCTGGAAAAGGCGCTTCTGGGGACGAGGACCCTCAGCCCCCTCAAGCCGCCTCCTCCCGCGAACTCTGCAGTGGCAGGAGTGGGATCTTAGAGTAACCCTGGGACGCAGTGATCCAGACGGAGCAGGTCCTGCAGAGCCCCGGGCGCTGCCCAGCACGGAGGGAGCCCCACCCAGCCTGGACACTGACATGCACATCCCTGCCCCCCTCGGAAGGAGCGGGCATGCCGGCTGGGTCAGACACCCGAGGTCACAGCCGCTGCCCCGCTGGAGGGTTGGGGAAACTGAGGCCCTGACAGGATGGAGGCCCCGCAGCAGGACAGGGTCTCCCTGATCAGCCCTGCGGGAGCGCGCAGTCCCAGGGGTGGGCGTGGGCCCTGCCGCCATCCCTGAGGGTCTCGGTGCGGGGGGCAGGTTCGCAGACCAGCACGGGGCGCGGGCCGCGTTCGCCGTGTCCTTCCTGGGCTCCTGCGCGCTCTACCTGCTCCTGGCGGCCGCCTGCAGCCCGGCCCTGCCCGGCGCCGCCCTGCTGTTCGCCTCGCGCCTGCCGGCCCCGCTCATGCACATGCTGCCAGGTACAGCCGGGCGGGCGAGGGGCAGCTCACCCCAAGGTGTTGGTCTGGACCCAGAGCAAGACGGGGTGGAGGGGCGACGGGGGGCGTGGGACAGCTCAGAGGGAACAGTGGTAGGGGTGTAGCCTGTGGGGGCGCAGGTCGGGGTGCAAAGGGTGGTTGGGGCCTGGCCTGACCCGCCACTCAGCCCCTGCTTCGCCCGCAGCCGCCCAGATGGTCATCGTGGACCTGACTGCGCCCGAGGAGCGGCCCGCGGCCCTGGGCCGGCTCGGCCTCTGCTTCGGCGTCGGCATCATCCTTGGCTCCGTGCTCGGCGGGACCCTGAGCGACACGTGCGGGTGAGTGGCGGGCGGGCGAGGGGGGGCAGTGCGGGTCAGGCTGGCCCGGGCTGGGTCGGCTCCGCGCCGCCGCCGCGCTGCGGTCCTGGGCTTCCCCAGCTGCACGCTAAGCAGGCTGGGTCGGCGGAGGACGACTTGCCGGAACCTACCCGGCGGGGGAGGCCGGCAGGGCAGGACGTGGCCGACAGGGGGCGCCATCGCCCCGAGCTGCAGCTCCCCTGGGTGCAGGCGCGCGTGCTCGCAGCCGCTGGCTTCTGGGCGCTCCCAGCCTGGGAGACCCGCCCAGCCGGTCGGATGTTAGGAAACCCGACGGCAGGCCCGGGGGCAACGTCCTGGGATCAGCCGCCTGCACCCGGGCCCGGCGATGGGAACACTGGCCCCCAGCCTCTAGAGGGGGTGAGGGCAGCTTAACTGAGGGGTTTAATAACTGTGTGAGATAAAGCCTCTGTCGCCCTCCACACACACACACACACACACACACACACGCACACGCCAGACTTGCACACAGAGGTCCAAGGTCTTCCCAGGCCCCAGAGCCCCAGGCAGCAGGCTCCTGGCCCTGTGGTGGGCTGCGCAGAGCCGGCTGTGCCAGGGCCTGGACGGGCATGAGCAGGCCGGTGTAACCCGGCTGTGCCGAGACTGTGGGGGCTGGGCCAGTGCAGGGAGACCAGCCGGGAGGCTGGGAGGCTTCTGTGCCGGCCCTGCAGGCCCGGGGTGCTGTGGGGGGAGAGGGGCAGAGGGCAGGTTCCGGCTTGGTGTTGCTAAGGGCTGGGATGCATGTGTGAGCTCAAGGCTGTGCCCGATTCCGGCTGGCCCTGGGGGAGCTGTGGGCCGGGCTGAGACCGAGCAGCCTGGGGCGCCAGGAGGCGCTCAGTCCCAGCAGGCTCAGGCGGGTGCCCTCAGGGCTAGAAGGAACCAGATGAGGGAGGCTGAGCCGGGAAGGACAGTGCTGCACTTTCCTGGGTGGGTTCCAAGCCCTGGGAGCTGGTTTGCATGGATCACAGGTGGTGGAGGGGAGAGGGAGGGTGTCAGGCAGGAGGCACCGTGAGAACACTCTGGAAGCCCAGGGGTCAGGGAGTGGCGGACCCTCCAGGCCTAGAGGCCGGAGTGAGCAGGGACTCCCGGGAGTGACGAGTGGCCTGCTGTGTGCGAGGTGGAGGCGGGACCTGACTCTGGAACCTTCGGGGTCCAGGGAAAGAGGGCCTGTCTCCCCAGGGAGAGAAGAATGAGGGGCAGGCGCTGCGGGTGAAGGGGCTCCCGGGTGAGGAGGGCGAGGACGCAGGGGTGGGAGAGGCAGGACAGGGGGAGCCCCCACCCCAAGCACCTGCTCCTCACCCCGCCAGGTAGTGTCACCTGTGAAGTGGCTCCTCCGCCCCCCCCTCGCCAGCCCTGCCCCCACTCCCTCCCAGAGCACCTGCCTTTTTCTCCAGCCCAGCCGCTGACCCAGGGGGTACCGCTTCTCTCTCCCTCCTCACAGCTCCCTGCCCTGCCTTCCAGAACGTTCCATTAGCTTCCCTCTTTCATCCCAAGATCTAAGGCACTTTATATCCTTGGAATTTCCTTTGATGGATGGGAAAACGGAGGCCCCGGAGAGGGTGGGGTCCCCCCCCATGAAGCTCCTGGTCCTTGCCCAGGGCCCAGGAGAGTTGGCTCCAGGACCCTGATGCCCCGTGGCAAAGGCTGGCACCCCATGTCCTGTCCTGCCTCCCTGCCCCCCCCATCCAGAAAGGCCCAGCCGAACCCCACCTCCGCAGCGGAGCAGGCGGGGCGAGGAGGTGGCCTTGGCAGCCAGGCTGTGCTGGGCAGCAGGTGCTGGTGTGACTGGTTTGGGCTCGGCCTGGAGCTCAGGCCTGGGGGGCAGGGAACAGCTCTGTGACCCGTGCAGGCCCAGCGGCCCAGCGCCTCACAGCCCGGAGAAGCCTCTGTCCCACCCTCCCCCAGGAAGGTCGTGTGCCTCGGGGCTGGGCGGCGCCAGCCTGCCGGGCCCACTGGAGTTGGGCCCCTGGGGGGGGGCATGTTCCGGGGTTCAGATGCTGCTAGTGGTGGACTCAGGGAGACCCCGGGCCTGATGGTTGGACTTGGCGTCGGGGATCTTTGGCTGGCCTCCCTGCCCCCTGAGAACTGTGGAGCTGCGCCCGTTCCTCCTCAGGGCACCCCCCTCAGCCTCCGTCCTCCCTCCAGCTCTGGGCAAGCGGGCAGGCCCTGGACTTCAGGGGTCTCGGTGCCAGCTCTCGGCCTGGCAGGGTCAAGGGTGCTCTCCCCTGGGCCTTGAGCTAGAGGAGAGCCCAGTTAGACCCAAGGAAGGCTGAGCTGCTCATGTCAGGGCCTTAAGCTCAAAGTAAGCAGAGGTGGGGGTGTCCCCAGGTCCCCACTGTCAGGGTGGAGGGGACCCCCTCACCTCCAGGCCAGCCGAGCTCCACAGCAAGTCATGGGCGCTGTGCCCCGGAAGTGGTCAGGATGCAGACAGAAACCCACCAGGTGGCCACTGTACAGGCGGGGACATAGCACTGGGCAGGCGACCGTCCAGCCAGACCACCCTAGAGGTCAGGCAGAGCTGGGCCTGGCAGTGGCCGGCCCTTCTGGGCACTAACTGGCTGGCGAGTGCCCGGCTCTGACCCCCAGCACCAGCTGTGCCCTGTGGGCCATCAGGGACTCGGCAGGTGTCCACTGCACATATCAGGAGGCCCGAGCACCGGCCTCCGGAGGAAGCTGTGATCCTGGCCTTGGTCTGGGCGAAGGCCTGGGAAATCTTATCAGGCTGATAGAAGGTTTCCTCCCGTAACACACCAGCTTCCCCTGCAGTTAATGAGTAGGCTGCGGGGTGGTGCTGAGCGTCCCTGGGACAGGAGTGACTCACCTGTCAGCCAGGCCGCCTGCCCCAGCTGGGGCGCAGGTGGCTCACTGAGGCCGTGCAGCCTGGCCCCGCCCCCGGGTGCACAGGCCCTGCAGACACCTGGGGTTCCAGGCACTGGGAAGCTCGGCGTGGGAGGGGCCGAGGTCACAGCCGTCCAGGCAGAGGGAAAGTGTGCAAAGCCCCAGGGCTGGAAGGAGCCGGGGTCTGCCTGGGGACCTGTGAGGTCTGGTGGAGGGGTCAGGTGCCCGGACACCCGAGGCTGCCGAGAGCTAGGCTGGGCATGGTTTCCGGGCCTTCTTCTGGGCCTGGACGCCAGAGGGAGGTTGAGTCAGGTGGGCCCCACAAGAACTTGATTCCACCCACTAGCCTCCTTGTTCTGGGATGTGTCACCTTGGCGGGCAAGGTGACCTCCGCCAAGCCCCCTCTGAACATCCAGCGGCACTCAATAGCCTCTCGTCATGTGTCCCATGAAGCTGGGTCCCAGAGGACCCCGGCCCAGCCTCCAGGTCGGACAGGAGAGGGGTGCACGGCCTGGGAGGCCCCACCTGCAGCCAGGCCGGGGTCCCTGGCCACATCCCGTCACCTCTCAGAGCCTTGGAGCAGGTGGCGAGGGAGGCTCCAGCTTCGTAACGAATGTCACCGGGAGCTGGACAGAGCCTGGCAGGGAGGTCCACGCTGGGCGGGCAGACGGCCAGGCCCCCGCCCTGTGGACCCTGTCGTGTGGGCAGACCCCGCCCTGAGATAGGCTCAGAGGAGCACCCCAGGACAGCCCCAGCCTCTGGTGGCGGCACAGCACTGGCGATGACGCGGGAGGGTGGCCCTCCTCTGAATCCGAGGGAAGGAGGTCCCCCATCGAGGGAGCCGCAGAGAAGGGCAGAAGCACGGCCCTTTCCTGGCGTCCATGCGGTCGTCCGTCCAGCCTCTTGTCTGGCCTTTCGCCCCCAAATCAAAGAGGGGGTGGACGAAGACCCAGGAAGTGGGGCCTGCCCTCGTGAGCGGCGCTCCGTGTGTGCGAAGGGTCCAGGGAGCCCCAGAGCGCCATCCGGGGTGAGCCTGCACCACGCAGGTCCCCAGAACGGGAGGCCCCGGCGATGGACAGGCTGGAAGGCCCCAGCTGCCTGGGCCAGGCTGCCTCTTCCGGCTGGTCCCTCCTTCCTCGCTACTCCTCGGCCTCTTGTCCTGGGGGAGCCAGAGCTCTGAGGAGGGAGGGCAACCCCGACTCCCTCCCAGGGCCCGCAGGGTCCCTGCGCCCCTTTAGTCAAGGCCACCACCCAAGGCGGAGTCCAGACCCCAGGAGAAGTGGCCTGGCTCCCAGCCACCACCCCTCGCCTGTCACCAGCCTCCCAAAATAGCCGGCTAAGTGGCTGCCTCTGCTCCCCCACATTTCCGGGGCATCTGGCAGAGAAAGCAGGGTTTGTCCCTCCAGCCCGGGCCGTGACGTCAGGCCCTCCGAGGCCAGAGTCTTGAAGAAAGAGCCTTTTTCTCTGGGGCCAGCCACCCCGCCCGGGTGTCCCTGCTCGCGTCACAGGCCAGTCCCTGCCGCCAGAGGAGGGGGCTGCACGGGGCCACTCTGGGGCCCAGCGCCCTCTGACCCTCCCGCCTGCCAGCCCCAAGCCGCCAGTCCACGGACAGGCCTGTTTGTCTGGGACCCTGGCAGTCGGAAAGCCTGGATCACCAGCTTCGTGGACAGTGGGCGTTGTGGGTGGGAGAACAGAGACAGGCCCGTGGGGGAGGGGAGGGTCAGCAGAGGCTCATGCAGGCTGGACAAGTGCCAATTCCACCCCTGTGTGAGCCAGGCAGGTCCCAGCCGAGAAACGAGGGGTGGCCAAGGGGCTGGTCCCCACCGACTTCTCTGGTCCTGCGTGGAACAGCCCTTCCCGCCTGTGGTTTCCCGGGAGCTCTGTGTGTGCGTGTGTGTGCATCTGCACACTCGCACGGCGGGGGTGGGGAGGGGTGTGGAAGCCCCCTCTGAGCTCCGTGGAGGGCCCCGGGCAGCTCAGGGTGGGCTGTGTTTGGAGGTGCAGAGGGCTCCTCCCAGGACACTGACCTCCCACTTGGGCCTGTGCCCCGAGGCCCTGACCAGGACAGATTTCGGGGTTCCATGTGAATGGCTCACACCTTTGTTCCACGGTCTAATGTCCACTAGGGTCTCGGCACAGGGTCCTGCCCAGGCCCACCTGCTTTCGGGGGACAGCTCCTGGCTATCGAATGGAGCGAGCCCTTGTCAGAGGCCAGGGCGCCCCTGCGGAGGAAGGCCGGGCTCGCAGAGAAGGGCCCTTGGGATGTGTAGGAGTTTTCTCTGCTGCCACGAGGGGCAATGCCCCTGTGCGCAGGCGCGGAGGGCAAAGCAGCCCGGCTCACTGAGAAGTTCTTGTCCCTCCTCATCCCCCAGGGGCTGGGCCAGCCCTCGGGAGGGGACGGGGGCAGGTTGACCCACCGGCCCGCTGGGCCCGTCCCAGGTAACAGCCTGCCCGCGCCTTCCTGCCGGTGGGGTCAAGGGCCGTTCCGGAGCGATGACTCACGTTGGGGGGACACTCCCTTAGAAGTGAAAGTGGAGGAAAGTCTGGGTCACAGCCTTGGCCGGGGTGTAGGCAGGTGGAAGTCGGCCAGAGGGTGGTGTCCCGGGTTCTTCAGGGCCAGCCCCGTCCCGAGATCCAGCGGACCTTGTGCCCCAGGAAGGGGGATGGGAAGGAGACTCCTGAGCCCGCCAAGTGCAGGCCTATCCCGGTGGCACAGACGACGCCACACTGGGGTCCATGCGGGTGGAGCTGAGATTCAAACCCAGACCCCTGCCCACTGGGCAGCTAGGGCCCCCATCTCGCCGCCGCCCCTTGCCGGTGCCCTGCGGCCTGGTGTGTCCCCTTCAGCCCAGTCACCAAGGGGAATGGTCGCATTCTCAGCTGCGCCTCCCCACCCAGGAGACCCCTCCAGCCCCGCCAGAGGGAGAAGGACTGAGGACCTGGGCCAGCCTCAGTTTCCCCCTCTGTAAAATGGGTGGGGCCATTGCCAGCAGGCGTCCGGGGAGCTCCTCTGGTTGGTTCTCGTTGCCCAGAAGGCGGCCTGCAGCTAAGGCGCAGGTCCCCAGGTCTCTAGCACCCCTGGCCGGGGCGGGGCCGTTTGCTGTGCCCGTCGCAGCTCCCCATCCTGCCCCGGCCACTGGCCGTCCTTGGAGGCCACCTGGGCCACTGCGCTTGGAACCCTGAAGGCTGCAGCCCAGTGTCGAGGCCCAAGTCTGAATAAAGGTGCGGTGGGGGGGACACTGCCGCTGGTACCCGTACCCGGGGCCTGAGCCCTGTGTGACCACGACTGTCGCCCCCAGGATTCAGTGTCCAGCCCTCGTGGCTCTTGCGGCCAACCTCCTTGGAGCCATCCTCAGCTTCGCCTGCGTCCCTGCCAGCACCAAAGGGGCCAGCGCCCACGCCCAGGCTGCCTCGCCAGGTGGGTCCCTCCAGACACTTGGCTCCGCTGCTCGGCCAGGGGGGCAGGCTCAGGCCCCAGCACCCAGCACCCAGGGCCACAGCTCGGCCTCCTCCCGTGCCCTCCCTCTGGTGAGAGCCGGCAGAGGCACGTGGGGGCCACTGACACCCCCTTCCTTCCTTCCTTGAGCCCCTCCGGGTGCTGACACTACAGGGGCCACGCTGGGTGTGCTCAGGGAGCCTGGAGGCTGCGTGAGGTCCGGGGCAGTGGAAGTGTGATGGGGGGACGCCAGGGAAGTCTGGGGAGGCCCTGAAGTGAGCACGGGGTGGGGGTGAGCCCTGAGGCCCAGGACAGCGGGGTGCTGCGGGGGGCTGGCCTCCGGAGCACAGCTCAGGGTGGGTGCCGAGGTGACAGCCCAGCCCCGCCCCTGCGTGCCTCTGCCCAGTGACCGAGAGCACCTTCTGGGACAGAGATCTACCTGGGAGCCAGCCTGGGTCAGGGGCCCTGGGCAGGGTGTGGTGGGCACTGGGCACCGAGGGGCCTACTCCCAGCAGCAGCCACTGGATTGTCCAGCTCTCGCCCCGGCCTGGGCAACGCTGCCCCAGGGCACTGTGCTTTCTGAGCACCTCTCGGAAGTCTGGGGTCCCCGGGGCCAGTGGGGACGGACGGCCCAGTCCTGGGAATGGGATGAGCTGCCCGGTGCCCGGCAGGGGGCTGGTGCTGAGGGGCTGGGGTGTTATCTGCCTGTTCCCCGGAGCAGGCGGCAAAGCCGTCGGGGGGAGGAGCTGCGGAGACCTGGGGCCGGGACAGGTGCGGGAGGCCGGTGCGGGAGAGGGGCCACCCTCACCTGGGGGCCTGGGGAGCTGTGCCGCCTGCAGGCCTGGGCCGGGCTGAGGGCCTGAACTCAGGCTGGGCCGGGTGAGGGCCTGACCGGCCTCTCCGGGCGTCCCAGGTGCCCCCCAGGCCGGCGTGTTTGACCTGAGGGCCATCTACCGCCTGCTGCTGCAGCCCGGGGTGCTGCCCGTGTTCCTGGTCAAGGTGATCTCCGGCTTCCCCTCAGGTGAGTCCCAGGCCGCGCCTGTGACTTCCCAGCCCCTCGGGACAATCTGAGAGGCCGAGACTGAAGTCTGAAGGTGCCCACCCCTGGCCGCCACCTGGTCCTCTCATGAGGGGGCTGGGGGCCGCACAGTCAGCAAGCTTCCCTGAGAGTCCCCTGCCCTGGCACAACCATGCGGGGGCCCCGGGGCGGGCTGGCAGCCCAGCCGGTGTCCCTGCCCGGCCAGCTCTTTGGCGCACAGGGACCGCGGCCACATCATCGATTTCCATAAAAGGGCCACGGGGGGTCTGGGGTCAAATCCTCCCACACTGTCAGCCCTGGGACTCCTGTCGCCCAGCTGCCCTCATCAGATGCCCACCTGTCGGAGGGGTCGTGTCCAGTCCCTTCCTGCTCACTGTCCCAGCTGCCCCGAGGGGCGGCATGTCCTGTGCCTGGGCCCTGGTCTGCGGGTGTCATGCTCCTCCCCGAACCTGGCGCTGTGGTCAGGGCCCTGGGACCTCACAGCCCTGCCCCCCACCTAGGGCTCTTCATGATCATGTTCTCCATCATCTGCATGGACTTCTTCCAGCTGGACGCCACCCACGCCGGCTACCTCATGTCCTTCTCCGGGGCTCTCCTGATGGTGAGTGCGTGCTGGGCACCGGGGCGGGCCAGGGTCTCTGGGCGTGACTCGGTTTCCCTCTGCACTCTGACCCTCTGCTCCTGCTCCCCCGAGCCCTCTCCACCTCCAAAGGGCTCCCCAGGGCTGTTCCTAGGCCCCTCAACCCACCGTCTGCAGGGGGCCCGAGAGGGCAGTGGGGACTCATCCCGGGGAGGCTGGGCGCCCTTAGCCTCCCATCCCGCAGCGTGTCGGGGTGCCTGGTCCACCGAGTGCCTCGGAGCGCCCGGTGGCAGATGGGCGGTGGGGGGCGCAGACCCAGAGCCGGCCTGTGTGCCGCAGACCAGCCGTGTGACGGGCGTTCCCTGTGTCTCCGCGTCCACGTCTCCGTGTCTGTCCCTGGGGCCGGGTGACTAGGCGAGCTGATGCGGAGAAGCAGGCACAAGGTGCAGCACCGGGCACCTCGGGAGCCCCTCCAAGCCCTGCCCTGGCTGAGGTCCCTGGACGCTCAGCTCACACACTGCCCCAGAGCCAGCTTGGGGGTCCTGTCTGCCAGCCCCCGGGCCCCAGCTGCAGGCCTGGGACAAGCCCTCCTCAAGTTCAGTGGCCCTTGGCTCCTCCGACCCGGGGTGGTAGGGACAGGTGGCGACATACTGCCGCCCAGGACGCTGCCCAACAGCCGGAGCGGGGGAGGGGCTATTCTGGGACCTGCTGGAGCGGGGGAGGGGCTCTTGACCGCCCCGGAAGCCTGTGGCATTCCCGCCACCTGCCAGCCATCTGCTCCCCAGCTCCGCCCGGATTGGTGGAGCCCCTGGTGTGAGAATAGCCTCTCCTGGGGGGACCTGGCCCCCACCCCGGGGCCGAGCAGGCCTCCACTCTGCAGGTGGGGCCAGAGACGTAAACAGAAAACAACAATAATAATACCCCTCCAGAGCTGCCCCTGGGCCTCCTTCTAAAGGGCTGCTCCCAGCCTGCTGGGCCAGGTCAGCCTGAGCTCTGGCCTGGACCCCCGGACCCTGGAGACCAAGCCTGTGCCCCCGTGAAGCCCGCAGACCCCTAGAGACCCTCAGGCCTGGTTGGGGGCAGGGGCAGGCCTGCCCCAGACATCTGTATGGGGGTGAAGACACCTGGGGTGGCAGAGAAGCAGGCCCCAGAGGAGCCTGGAACCAGAGTCCCAGGCCCGAAGTCCAGTGCAGGGGGGTGGGTGGGGGTGCGGACAGCGAGGCCCAGGCTGCGGTGCAGGGTGGGGGCTGGGGGCTGGGTTTTGTCTGCAGAGAGAAAAGCCTGAAACCACCCCCCTCAGGCACCTTCCCGCCCCCCCCACTAAGTGCTGGCCCCACTTCAGGGTGAACCTGCCTCCCATCTGATCCCTCACAGCTGTTCTCACACCTGCTGCTCCCGTCACAGGCCATTTCCTGCCCCCACTCCCTGTGTAGGTTGGGGCTGGGGGCTGGGGGGCAGTGGCAGCCCAGGTGGGCCTAACATGAGGGGATGGCAGCCCCCTGCCCCTGGTAGGCCTGCAGACATCGGTCCTTGCAGCCCTTCCTGCAGAAGCCCCCCACTGGCTCATCTATGTCCCAGGTGCGGCCACTGTTGGGGTAACTAGCAGCTGGAGAGAGGACAGCGGGGCCCCGTGTGAGGTGAGGTGGCTGCTTCAGGCCTTACCAGCGCAGATTGCTAGCTACGGGGCACAGAGGGGCTGCACGTGCGCAGGCCCTCAGGTGGAAACCCACTCCGGCCTGAGGGGAGAGGCCCCGGGTTAGGGGGTGGTCTGCAGGGCCAAGAAGGCCTGGCTTTACCTGGAGGACATGGGCTGCAGGAGGGGCCACTCAGGCCCCCCGGGCGTGGAGAGGAGTCCTGTGTGGAGTGTTGGGACAAAGTGAGACGCGGCATGTTTGTCCACAAGTCCAGGCTCTCCTAAGTTGCTATGTTGGGGTTCTGGCCTCTGTGAAAGGCTGAGGCCAGATGCGAACAAGGAGGGAGACTGAGCAAGTCCAAGAGCGGGGCTGTGTTTCCAGAAGGACCTTTATGGTTCTGATTCGAAACAGTGTTGCCATGTCAAGCAGGCAGGGAGGAGGTGGCCAGTGCCAGTCCGCAGGGCTGGGCTGTCCCAGGAAACGCAGCCCAGGAGGGCGCAGACCCCAGTCCTGCCCCAGCCCAGGAGGGTGCTGACCCCAGTCCTGCCCCAGCCCAGGAGGGTGCTGACCCCCAGCCCAGGAGGGTGCTGACCCCCAGCCCAGGAGGGTGCTGACCCCCAGCCCAGGAGGGTGCTGACCCCAGTCCTCCCCCAGCCCAGGAGGGTGCTGACCCCCAGCCCAGGAGGGTGCTGACCCCCAGTCCTCCCCCAGCCCAGGTGGGCGCTGACCCCCAGCCCAGGAGGGTGCTGACCCCCAGTCCTCCCCCAGCCCAGGTGGGCGCTGACCCCCAGCCCAGGAGGGTGCTGACCCCCAGTCCTCCCCCAGCCCAGGAGGGTGCTGACCCCCAGCCCTCCCCCAGCCCAGGAGGGTGCTGACCCCCAGTCCTGCCCCCAGCCCAGGTGGGCGCTGACCCCCAGTCCTGCCCCAGCCCAGGAGGGTGCTGACCCCCAGCCTTCCCACCCCCAAGCCCCAGGTGCCCCGGGCACTTCCTGTCTGCCCGCTGGGGGAAGTGCGAGGACCAGATAGGGAGCCTCACCCTGGCCTGGGAGTGGCTGGGCCTGCCCCTCTGAGTCATGTCGCTGGGTGTCCCTGCCTGGGTCCTTCCTCACCCTCAGCCAGCTCCTGGGACACAGCTGGGAGAGCAGTGTGAGGGGCAGGCGGGGCAGCAGGGACCTCGGACAGTGTGCTGCCGGCCTGTGGGGACGCCGCCTGACCAGGCGCAGGACCAGGCACCTGCTGGTGGGAGCCCCGCCCTGCCAGGTCTGGGACCCTGGGCCCGTGACGTCAGCCCTCGGCCCTCGGTTTGCCCTGTTGTAACTGGGATGGTGGCCTCCTCGGTCACGGGGAGGACTCAGAGCTCCTGGCCCAGTTTCAGCACAGGGATGGTCCCCAGGAGACAGGGCCCGGCCTGGTCAGGACAGTTGGACTGAGGACGCACACGGGCACCAGGACACTGGGCTGAGGTGCCAGTCCAGCCACCTTTCTCTGAGCCCCGACTCCCCATCTGTGCAGCGTGTGAGAGGACTAGGAAGCATCGTCGGGGGAGAGGGACCCAGGGGACCCAGGGGCCCCATGACCCTGGAGGGGCCTTCACTGGACCACAGGGGTCCCCAGGCTTGGACTCAGGACACTGCGCATTTTCAAATAAAAGATGGGCCTGGCCGGTTTGGCTCAGTGGTTAGAGCGTTGGCCCGTGGACCAAAGATTCCCGGATTCGATTCTGACCAAGGGCACGTACCTCAGTTTCGGTTCATCCCTGCCCCCAGTTGGGGTCATGTGGGAGGCGGCCATCGATGTGTCTCTCTCACATTGATGTCTCTCTCTCTCTTCCTCCCTCTCTCCCTCCTGCTCTATCTGAAGATAAATGCAAAAACATCCTCGGGTGAGGATAAAAAACAAACAAAAAAACCCAAAGACACGGTTTTTGCACCAGAACCCACTGCCGCCCCGCCTCCATCAGCAGCGAGCTGGCCCCTCTTGGATTAGAACGTTCATCGTGCCTGAAATGAGAGACGGGATGGGTTCTGAGTGTGACATTGGACCTGCGAGTGGCTGGCCGTGCACATCTGTGGATGTATGTGCATGTGTGTGTGCACACGTGTGTGGATGTATGTGCATTGTGTGCATGTGCGCGCACATGGATATATGTGCATGTGCGTGCGTGCATGCATGTGTGTGCGTGTGTGCATATGCATATGTGTGCATGTGTGCATGTATATGTGTGTGTGCATGCATGTGTGTGGATGTATGTGTGTGTGCGTGTGCATGTGTGTATGCATGTGTGTGTGTGTGAGGCACCCGGCCCCTCCCCCATCTCCTCAGGGACCTTGGGGCCCACCCTTCTGCCCTGGAACCATTACTGCTGAGGGGTGCAGGGTCCCCCAGCCGTGGGGCCGCTGCAGTCCAGACCCTCCTCTACCCCGCAGGTCATCCAGGGCCTGGTCATCGGCCGGCTGAGCCGCCGTTTCTCCGAAGCAGCCCTGCTCCGGGCCAGCGTGCTGGGCTTCATCGCGGTGGGGTTGGCCATGGTGAGAGCGGCCCCCGGGGCTGCACCCACAACGAGCCGGGTTCCTGGCCCGCTGCCTGACCCTCTGCATCTGCCCAGTTTGCCCTTGAGCCCCTGGGCCCTACCCCCACCCAGGGCCACCTTTAGGGGACCTCAGGGACGGGCCCTCCTGCCCTGGTTCCCGGGGCCCCCCAGTCACACGGCCCCCGCCCCGCCCCGTGCCAGGCGCTGATGTCCACCGTCTTCCACTTCTGCCTCCTGATGCCCGGCCTGGTCTTCAGCATGTGCGCACTCAACGTGGTCACCGACAGCATGCTGACCAAAGCCGTCTCGGCCTCGGACACGGGTGAGGGGCATCCGGCCGGCGAGGGGCAGGCCTGGGAGACCCGGCCCGCCTCTCGGGGAGCCTGCCGGTGGTTCCCGGTGGAACAGCTGTCGGGATCCGGGGCAGGGTCTGCCGACCCACTGGGTGTTGAGTGGGGTGGGTGACCTGGGATCTTAGTGGGCAGGGTGGGGTGAGGGGCTGAGAGAGGGCTCAGGTGAGGATTCTGGCCACCACTCAGCCCAGCCGGGCCCAGCCAGCCCTGGGGGATGACAAGAGGGCTTCCCGGAGGTGGCATCCAACTTGGCGCTAAAGCAGGGGCAGGATTTCACCAGGAAAGAGGAGGGGGAGAGGGCAGTGCAGGCTGGGCCCAGCTGAGCTGAGGTGTGGAGGTGTCTGCAGGGCTCCTTCAGGGGCCATTGGGGGGCACCGGGAGAGAGGGCCCGAAAGGGGGTGGGCTTCCTGCCAGGCGAGGCCAGCCCTGTCCCTCCGGAGCAGCGCACGCCCCTGGGGCCACGGGAATTCACACGGAGGTTAAAGCCAGGAAGCCAGCCTCCTGGTGGGACACGGGGTCCCTGGGCCCCACAGCTCCAGGCATGGTGTGGGTCGAGTTTCAGGGGCTCCTCTGGGCTGCTTGGGGGTGAAGGCGTCCCCAGTAGCCGGGTTAGAAGGTTAGGGGCCTGGCGGACCCTCGGTGCCCCACTTGTCTGGGGGGCTGACGGAGGCCTCCTGGCGTGGCGGGAGCGAGGGCAGCCGATGATCCAGGCGTGTTCCGGGGCTGCGTGGGAGCCTCCAAGCCTCTCGGGCCTGTGCTTCTGCGGCCCTGGGGGCCAGGGGCCTGGGGGGCTAGCAGTTTGGAGAGGCCAGGAGTGGGCAGGGGACAGGCCCGGAGGATGAGGGCAGGACTGGCCGCACTGTGCCCAGGCCCCACCCCTCCGCTTGGGAGCCAGGAGCCGGTTCCCAGCGCCAGCCTGGGAACCCGAGACCACAGAGGGGGTGGTAAACTGCTCCCCGGTGTCTGCGCGTGTGGGCGGCGGGAGAGGCTGCTCTTCAATCTCATCATGGCCCAGAGCCCGGGCGGGGCCTTGCCAGGCGGTGCCCAGCCCACCAGCCAAGCTTTCCCGTTCCCAGATCAGCTCCGAATGACCCTTCTGGGCACAGCTGGCAAGAGGGGGTGCAGGTGGGGTCGGGTAACCGGCCAGCAGGCAGCTCGGTGAACCTAGGAAGTGGGGTCAGAGGTAGTGGGGTGCCCTTTATAAGCCCCCTGAAGCCCTTCCCAGCCCTATGGGGTACATCCCCTACAATTCCTATGGAGGTGGTGGGGGCTGGTGGGGACCCTGGGGATGTGGCCTGCCTTGCTCCCCCGGCCCCGCCCTCACCTGGTGGCTCGCCTCTTACCGCCAGGCCCACGGCCCAGTTTCTGTCCTCTGCGCGCCATCCATCTCCGGGTGGCCTGGGAGGTGGGGCCCCTCCTGCGCTCGGGAACTTTCTGGCGCAGGGCGGAAGTGTCTAGTGTGGCCCTTTCATGGCTGAGTGGTCCATGGGGAGCAGACCGCAGGCTCTGGGGAGGGACGGGGGCAGAGTGGGGTTGGGAGACAGGGCAGGCCCCTGCGGTGTGCAGGAAGTGGGCGGCAGGGGCGGCCGCTGCGGGAACCCCAGGCCTGACTCGCCCCACCCGCAGGGACCATGCTGGGCCTCTGTGCTTCTGTGCAGCCGCTGACCCGCACCCTGGGGCCCGCCCTGGGCGGCCTCCTGTACCGCAGCTTTGGCGTCTCCATCTTCGGCCACGTGCAGTTTGCCGTCAACCTCCTCGTCCTCTTGGCTCTCTGCCGACAGCCTATGTCCCAGAAGACGCTCAAAGTCCGGTGACCTCGGCCACTGGACACAGACTGACAATAAACTCTCTCAGGACCTCGTCCGGCCTGATTTCTGCAGGTTCCCACTCAGGCCTGCGTCTAGTTGGCGGGAGGCCTGGCGGGAGGGGTGAGCCTGGAAAGCTGGAGGACTTCCTGGAGGAGGGGCCTGCGGCTGGGCCCCAGGGCTCTAGGGAGGGCACAATCACCCAAGTTTGTCCAGGCGGGAGGTGGGCCCTGCCCCTGAAATCCAGCACCACATCCCGTGAGAGTCCCCTCCACTGGCGCCCAGACAGCCCTGCTCCCACTCCAGGAGACGGGGAGCCCCCTCTGCCCCCCTCCTGCTCCAACACTGACCGAGGCCTCCAGCTAGCAGGCTGCCCCACAGGCCCTCAGGAACTCTCAAAGTTGTTCCTGGCCATGAAAGGGCATTTTCTTTTTTAAGATCAGGAATTCGGGGCTTGGGAAGAGCTGAGGCCAACAGCCCTCATTCTGTGGGGAGAGCCCGGCGGGTAGACCAGGCAACCAGACCTGAGAGCGGATGCACCATCCCCACCCCCACACTCCGACCCCACACTCCGACCCCGGCTCTGCGGACAAGGCGCTGGGGGTGCAGGAGGTCGGCTGGCTGCTGTGACCGATGACCAGTCCAGAGAGAACTGCCTTGATGGGGTGTGCAGTACCCCGAGACCATGAAGGCCACCCCTCCCCCACCGGCTGCCTTTAAAACAAGCTATTAAAACTCAGAATCCCTGCCTTCCAGTTCCAACTGGAAGGGCCCTCAGACACGCCTCCTCTTGGACCCCCAGTGGGGACAGGAATCACCCCTGACTGCCCATTCGCCCAGATGAGCAGGAGAGGTCTCCAGGGTGGGGCAGGGTGGGGCCGATCTTGGGGTCGGGGGACCATGGAGCCCCGCCGCTGTGGCACAGGGAAAATACCTGGCGGACAATGGTTTCCTCTCTGCAAAGCGACAGCCCTTCCAGGATCTGACCCTGGAGCCCAGCTCGGAGGCCTGTGGCGGCTCCCCTACCCCAGGGGCAGGGTGAGTGACCAGCGTAGGACCCAATTGCGGTCCTTCACTTTCCTCCCTGCTGCCTCCCCGACCCAGCATCCTTCCTGCCTGAAATGAAGGTCCCCTCGTCAGCTGGGGTCAGTGTCCTATGCCCTGTTCTCTGTGCCCGCTGGCTTGCCCATCGCGGGTGCACCTTCCAGGCGGAGGGACACCCCCAAGCCCTCCCTACACCCCACTCCCTCAGGCCTTTCCACCCCAACCACCGCCTGGGCCACCCAGACCTCAGCCTCAGGAAGGTCCACAGGCCTCTCCCCCACCTGCCCGGCACAGCCGCCTTGATGGTCATGGCCCAGCCTGGGGTGGGTCAGGAGCCCACAGGCAGCCAGAGGGCTGGCTGAGCAGTTGGCCTGGGGGTGGGAGGGGGCAACTGGAGTCGGGGGAGGTGCACTGACCTCAGTGGGGCCCTCTGTGAGTGACTGCCACCAGCCCCAGGTCACAGCCAGGAACGGAAGTTGGCCAGGGCTGAACCCCAACGCACTTCCTGCCCCTGGAGAGGCCACTTGGTAAGGAGGGTGCCAACCCATCCATTCATTCAAACACTTCCCTGACCTTCAGACCGGGGCTCCCCCGTTCATGACCCCACCGCTCCCAGGAACATCACCGCACCCACCAGCTTGTAGAAAAGCAAAGTGGTTTATTTGGAATGCCACCAATGCAAAAACAAAATATTAAGACATAAGACATATGTGGTTGAACGACAAATAACTCAAAATAAATACATAGATAGTCCAATAATTTAACGCGCCCGCGCAGCGGGGCAGGGCTCGGCGACTGAGAAGAAGGTCCCTTTCTGTGGGGCAGGGACACAGCTCCCACCCTGAGTCCTCCTCGTGGTCAGAGGTGGGCTCCCAACATCCCGGGCACCCCCTGGGCTTCACTGGCGCGGCCCCAGCCCAACTCGTCCAGTGTGTGGCTCCTGGGGGGAGAGGAGGGGTCAGGGAGCTGTGCCAGAGCCCGGCCCGGGCCGGGGGTCTCCCCTGTGGTTCGCCGGCAGCCCCGACGTGACAGGTGCAAGCGACGGCTCCTGGCGCGCGCCCCAGAGGCGCCGCGGTTGCGTGGCGGCCGATCCCCTCCAAAGTGTCCCCTCCGCAGGGCAGGAGGCCCCCACCGTCGTCCGTGCGGGCTGGCGGGGCCGGCGGCGGCTCAGGGCGCGCGGGGCTCGGGGGCCGCGGCGGCCGCGACGCGCTCCTGGCGGCTGCGGACCTCCTGCAGGGCGCGGCGGTTCTGGAAGTCGATGAGCGCCAGCGTGATGGCCGCGTTCCAGCAGCTCTCGCCCGCGCAGCGGAAGTCGATCTCCTTGTGGTCGGTGGTGACGATGGTGAAGTAGATGTACTTGCCCGTGCGCTCCACGCAGTCCACCTTGAGGATCGAGTGGAAGCGCAGCTCCTTGGGCCGCGCGCCCGGGCCGGCGGGGAACAGGCTCAGGCGGTCGGGGGTGAGCACGCCGCGCTTCTTCTTCCACAGCTGGAACAGGCTGTCGCTGCGCTTCTCCAGCTCGCCCTCGCGCAGCACCTCGCCGGGGACCTTCATGTCGGCGGGACCGCGGGCCGGTGCCGGGCGCGCTCAGGCGGTGGCGGCGGAGCAATGCGGCCGAGCGGCCCGGCCGCTGCGTTTATAGCGACCCCGCCCCGCGCTCCGGCCCCGCCCCGGCCCGGCCCGCCCCCTCGAGACACGTCCGCGTCCCCCTCCTGACCCCAGCCACCTGCGCCCACTCGTCCCTGCCCCCCAAGTCCGCCTCCCCTGCGGTCCGCCGCTTCTCTACCCGCGGTCACCCCTTCCTTCATGCTTGCAACTCGCAAGGCGCCCCCTCTGTCCCCCAGCGCCCCGGCTCCCCGGCTCTATGGGGTGACACGCGGTCTCCACCCCGCCCCGGACGCCGGCCCCCGTGGAGGAATGTCCCGCCCTGCCCGCAGTGACTCAACGCCCCGGGGCCCCAGGAAGCGGCCGCAGCCAGGGCCGGCTCAGGGCGGGTGGAGGGGACGGGGTGGGGCCCAGACCCTCACCCTCCTGGCGCCCGGACACTCAGCCCTGCCTGCGCTCCGCGCTCTTGGGGCAGAAACAGGTCGCGGCCCACTGGTTCCTCCCAGGCGCTGGGGCCCTTCGCGGGGAGACCCCGGTGGCTCCGCCACACCGGCCTTGTGGCCCGCCGCGCCGCCTGTGGGCCCGGCCCGTCCGGAGAGCAGGCGCTCTGACCCCCTTTTCTCGTGTGTAGATGCGAACGGGAACTTTTTCAGACTCGGTAACAAATGGAAGGTGCTGGGACAGCTCCAGCCTCCCTTTCGGGGGCCTGTCCTCCTCCCTGGGCCTCGAGTTTGGAGTCTGGACGAGGGCGGGGCAGTGACGGCACGTGCGGGAGCCGAGGGCGCGGGCGCGGATGCGGGAGTGACTGTCCCGCCGGGCGGGCGAGGGCAGCGGGGGCGGCTGAGTCATCCCGGCGAACAGGGTTTTTATTTACCCTTTTCCTTTAAAGGGTTTGACAGGAGCAGGAACTGGTGGCTGGCTCCTCCCGGTTCCCAGGGGTGGGGGTGGAGCCGGCCAAGGGGGTTTCTGGGGTGCGCAGCCGCGCCAGGGCCCCCGTCTTCTTCCGACGCCCACGGCGGCCAAGGGCAGGGGCAGCAGAGGGTGGGGGCGGGGAGAACCAGCCCAATGTGCAGGGCTGGTGCGAACTGAAAACGCAGGTTTGCCGGGGCCACAAGTATGAAACATTTCAACACGGGGGCAGCAAAGTGCAAAGCCCAGGCGGACTCGGTGCTGGCCGGGGAGGCTGGCCCTGGAACCAGCCCTGCCCCACCGGTCCCGGCTGCGTGGCCTTGGGCAGGTTCCCCTGACCTCTCAGAGGGTGGTCCAGAACCCTGGCCCTGTAGGGTCACTGTGCTGACCTGGGTTGGTCTTGGGTTGCTGGGCAGTGAGACCTGGTCATCTGGGCAGTGGGGCACCAGGAAAGCAGACCAGGGCTGGAGCTGTCACTGTCCCTAGGGAACCACCATGAGCCCACCACCCCGGTGCCCACCACTCTGCCTGGACCCTGTGAGGCCCGCCAGCGCCCTCCAGCCCGCCTCCCCGTCCCGGGGCCTCGGCACTGCCCGTGGGTGCTTAGCAGAGCCTGGAGCCGGCGCTGCTCCCAGCAGGACAGCAGCCCTGCCTGCCCTCGGGACCCCGTGGGGGGGGGGGGTGTGCGTGGGGGAGGGGTGCTGGGGCCGTGGGGCCAAGGCGGCAGCTTGGGCTCCAGGGGCAGGAACGAGAAAGGGTGCGAGGGGCCGTGAAGGTCGGCAGGGGTCAGGGTGCAGGCACATGCCCAGTCTCTGACCCGGAGACCACCCCGCCGGGCCATGCTCACCCCATCTCACTGGTGTGGAGAGGGAAGCCCCAGGAAACAGGGACCAGGGGAAAGGCCAGGAGAGAGCAGAGGCGGGGCTTCGAAAGTGGTTGGAGGAAGAGGATGTGGGAGCTGGAAGGGCAGGTGAGGCTGGGTGAGTCCCCGGGAGGCGCCCTTCCCCCGCCCCGCCCAGTGCTCCTCTGCGGGGTGGCCCGGCCGCTCTGGGGATGGGGGAGGGGTCGGTGACAGGGTGGCGCTCTAACAGGAGGGAGTTAGCGGGAGCTGGAGGGAGGGGGTCATAGGTGGTGGGGAGCCCACCGCTCTTCTCCCCTAGGAGGGGGGAGACCCCCAAAGAGAGGACACCCTGGTGGGCTGGGCCCGAGACACTGTGAGCAGAGGGGTGCAGCTGCCCCCACCCCGCAGCAGGCCCGGCTGGGGGTCCCTCCCGTCCAGGACATGGAAACTGTGATGCCTACTTCTCGGGAGACAGGCAAAGCGCTGACCTTGAAACAGCGTGAGTCTTCAGGGGCCGCCTCCCTGGAACTAGAGGACCCACCAGGATGGCTCCCCACCAGGACCGCACCCCACGAGGAGCTTCAGCCCAGGGGTCTGGGCCAGGCAGGTGCTGCCGGCCCCTCCAGTCACCACTGCTGGTGGGCACGTTGCCGCTCGTTCCGTGGAATTTCAGGGCATGAGGTGAGGGTCGGAGAGGTGACTCATGAGGCCACACAGCGGCCAGCGGGAGTCAGATCCATTCCACTGAACCCCAAGGCCTAGGGCAGGAAATAGCCCCCGCCCAAGTGGCTGAGTGAGGATTGGGCTGGGGACTTTAGGTGGCTACTTCTCAGGACAGAGGGGACGTGCTGGGCTTTGCCTCATCAGTGGCCTCGGGCAGAGGCAGTGGGGGCCACATTTACTGACCCGTCCCGGTGGACAGCACCTGGGGTGCTCAGAGTCCGCCTGAGGGGCGCCCCCAGGCAGACACGCCGGTCCGCAGACATCTGCCATCCTGTCCAGCCAGAGGAGGATGTCGGCGGCCTGGGAATGAGGGCACCTCTTCGAAACTCCCGGTGTGAGGTCATTCCCAAGGCAGAGGCGAAGCCAAGCCCTGAGGCTGTGGCCCAACCAGCCTGGTGAACTGCCTGTGAGGTGGCTGTGTGTCATAGCGGGTGCCTGGGGCTGGACACCACCAACTTCCTGTGGGGGCTGGTGCTCTCTACTGGCCTCCTCCAGGAAGCCCCCTTGGATTGCCAAAGCATACCCTCGGCCTGCTCCCACCACCTGCTCAAGCCCAGGGAGAGGAGGGGAGGCCCACGCTGCCTGGAGTCATACCACCTGAGCCCGACAGCTCATGGGCCACAACCTGTGTCTCGGGCCAGCCCTCCCCTAGAAGCCGCAGCCTGGGAAAAGCGAGAGGCCCGAGGGCAGAGAGCGGAGGCCTGTCCTCACTGGGTTTCCGGTTCTCGCTGTCGGCCTGGCCTTGGCCCCCCAAAAGCTGTGTCCCTGGTTATGTCTGGCTCCCTGAGCCCTTCAGCTGGGGTCTGAGGCAGGCCACACCTCACAAGACCTGGGGATCAAATGAGAAATGATGCTACCCAGAACACATTTTTTAAAAAATGTATTTTCTTTATTGAGTTTAGAGAGGGGGGAAGGGAGAGGGAGAGAAATAGAAACATCGATGAGAGAGAACACCGACTGGCCGCCTCCTGCATGCCCCCCGCTGTGGATTGGGCCCACACTCCGGCATGTGCCCTGACCGGGAATCGACGCTCAACCGCGGAGCCCCACCAGCTGGGCACACCCAGAACACTCTTACCCTCCTCGACTCCCTGGCAAGCTCCTATTCACCCCTCAGTGCCCTGCTTAGAAGGTACGATCAGGGGCTGGGTGTTCCTGGTCCCCAAATCAAGTCGTGACTGGATGTGGACCCGTGGGCCATGGAGGAGCTGGCCTTGTGGCCAGACGTCTCCGGCTCCAAGCAGTGTCCCCACAGTGCTTCCCCTCTGAAGGCCAAAGGCCGTGGCCACCCCCTGTCCACTCCCTCCTCCAAACCCTGTCCACTGCGCCCTCCTCGGCCACCATGGGCCACCCCGCCCCCCGCTCATGCACTGAGCCTCCTGCTGGACACCCCTGGCCGTCTGCCAGTGTCCTGGGGAAGCTGTGACAAATGTCCGCACTCTTGGTGACCTGGGACAACACGGATCTGTTACCTCCCAGGTCTGGAGGCCAGAAGGCCGGTGGGTTTCGGGGGCTGGAGTCTGTGGCCACTTTGCTATTTTGGGCACTTCCAGTGCTCCCGCCCCCGGCCCTTTGCTGTCCTTGAGGGGAGGGCAGGCCTCTGTCCCCAGCCAGGACCCAGCTGGGTGACCATTTCTTCCCATTCTTCTCAGAGCTCCTCCAGCCCTTCCCTGAGGGGACCCCAAGGACGGAACCTGGGAGTGCAGACAGCCCCCCTCCAACGCAGAGCTGGACAAGGGGCCCGGTGAGGGCGGGGCTTGTCCAGGTAGGGCCCAGGGAATGAAGGGGCTGGACTCTGCCACTCTCAGGTCTGGGGTCCTGACCTCAAGGACGGCAGCCCCAGGAGCCCTGCTGGAAATGGGGGCAGGCCGAGACCCAGGCCCACCCGGCAGGGGAGTCTCCGGGCCGAGACCCAGGCCCTAGCCGGCAGGGGAGTCTCCGGGCCGAGACCCAGGCCCTAGCCGGCAGGGGAGTCTCCGGGCCGAGACCCAGGCCCACCCGGAAGGGGAGTCTCCGGGCCGAGACCCAGGCCCTAGCCGGCAGGGGAGTCTCCGGGCCGAGACCCAGGCCCTAGCCGGCAGGGGAGTCTCCGGGCCGAGACCCAGGCCCTAGCCGGCAGGGGAGTCTCCGGGCCGAGACCCAGGCCCTAGCCGGCAGGGGAGTCTCCGGGCCGAGACCCAGGCCCACCGGCAGGGGAGTCTCCGGGCCGAGACCCAGGCCCTAGCCGGCAGGGGAGTCTCCAGGCCCACCGGCAGGGGAGTCTCCGGGCCGAGACCCAGGCCCACCGGCAGGGGAAGTCTCCGGGCCGAGACCCAGGCCCACCGGCAGGGGAGTCTCCGGGCCGAGACCCAGGCCCACCCGGAAGGGGAGTCTCCGGGCCGAGATCCAGGCCCTAGCCGGCAGGGAGTTCCGGGCGAGACCCAGGCCCTAGCCGGCAGGGGAGTCTCCGGGCCGAGACCCAGGCCCTAGCCGGCAGGGGAGTCTCCGGGCCGAGACCCAGGCCCTAGCCGGCAGGGGAGTCTCCAGGCCGAGACCCAGGCCTAGCCGACAGGGGAAGATGCCAGGCTGCCCTGGCTACTGCTTGCCTGTACCCCAAAGGCTTCCCTGTCCCCCAGTTCCCCTCCTGTCGTCCCAGACGGTTTCCAAGTGGGCAGGCACTGGGGAGGGCCGACTGGGCAGCCCCCGTCCTGGGGTCTGAGCAGAAGGGAGCGGCCTCTCCAGAAGGCTCCTGGGAGGAAGTGATGTTTTTGCAAGCAGGCCCGCGACTCCTGAAGCCCTGGGGAGAGCCCACAGCCCGGGCAGGAGGAAGGAGCCGTGGGCACCTGTGAGCGCTGCCTGCCTCTCCAGGTCCTGGGCCACAGTCCCCAGGAGTCGGGCTCCAGCCAGGCCTGTTAGGTCGTCATGGAAAGTAACATCCGGCCTCCGCCCATAGTGTACTGAGTCAGCGTGGCCAGGGTGGGCCAGTGACTGGCACAAGGGTGACATCTGGGTCGGATGGAGCTGTGCCCGGGGCACCAAGGTGACTTGGCCTCAGGAGTGTGTCGGGGCCTCGCCCTCCCGGAGCCCTGCTGTTGGGGACCACTGTGGGAGTCTCCTGAGGGGTGAGGGGGCAAATGGCCGGGTCTGAGGTTCCTTAGCAGCTCTCCTGCCCCCTGTTGACTGTTCCTGGAGGCCCATCCACCTCCAGAGGAAGGAAGCTGGGAAGTCACTGATTGAATGGGACCGAAGTCCAGGTGCCACCAAGCTGGGGGGCTGGGCGGGCCAGCTGGCGGGGAGCCAATGGCAGCTCACCTGGGCACTGCCCACAGGACTCTACCCCTACACAGCCTTCTCCAGCCAGGGGCTCGGTGCAGCAGGAAGGGACCAGGTCGGGAGGACACCTCCCACTGCTGGCTCCTGGCCCCTCCGCAGCCCACCACTCCTGTCCACCGGGTGCTCGGAGGGGAAGGACACAGGACACACATTCTGATTCCTATCGGGGCGGGACAGAGGTCAGCGGCACCACCAGGACTGGCCTGGCTGCAGCTAAGGGCCCACCCCCCTCTCTAGGAGCCCTTGGGCCTCGAGGGGCTGGGGCAGCTGCAGGGCCGGCTGGGCGCCATGAGACAGGGGCCACGAGCTAGCACACAGGCCCCTGCTGAGGTCCGACCACCACAGGTGTGGACAGAGGCCCCTGCCAGGCTGTGGGTGACCACACTCCTGACCTCTCAAGAGAAAAGCCAGTTTAAGTGGAATGATCCCAATTCAGAAGCTTTTGAAAAATCCACTCCACTGAGGTGTAATTCATACCCATAAACACGTGCACCCCGAGGCAGCCCCCGCTGACTGAAGCACACACCTGTGCAGCCGCTTCCTTCCCCAGAAGGCGCCCCACCCCCACAGGCGCTGGGCCGGCTCCAAGGTCACAGAAACCGGCCACCCACCTGCACTCCCTCCTTTGGGTCGTGCTTTCAAGATCCCTTGTTGTGGGGATCCAGCTGCTGGGACCTCTGTGCTGTGGGGTACACAACACTGCTAGCACCACCTTTAACTGCTGCACCTGCGGAAGCCCCCGAGCTGCCCCAGACTTCCCCAGGCCTGGGGCAGAGCCGAGGGCCCCCAGCCGTCAGTGGGAGAGAAAAGGCAGCCGGCCCGCAGCCAGTCTTGTGTGACAGACAAGACCAGGCCCTGAAGGGCAGGCCCTGCAGCCTGTAGAAAACAAGGTGGCCTGGGGAGTCACCCTAAGGACTGAGGGAGGGCAGCAGGGGCTGCGGGGAAGGGAAGTGGCCTTGAACACCCTCCTGGACGCTCCTGTGACTTCTGGGCCCAGAGTGGGGCTGGGCTCGCCTGGCCATGAACCCCTGCTTGGCTATGGCAGTCCAGGGGCCAGCAGGAAGAGGTGAGGTGCAGCCAGACGGGCGGCCACCCGGAGCTGCTGCAAGCGCCACCTTCCCCAACACCTCCTTGCGGGGGGCTCTGGGCAAACCTCTTGGGTGCTCCGATTCCCAGCACAAGTGGCAAGGACCAAACCAGCCTGCAGAGCCTCCAGTGTCCCTGAGGTCCTGTGAGCCGGAGTGGCCTGTGCCTGGCCACGGAAGGACCGCCTTCCCTTCCCGACTGCCCAGGAAGGGAGGAGTGGGGAGTGCAGGCCGAGGCGGGGCCACAGTGGACGGCCAGAGGGGGCACAGCCCCGCAGGGCTCAAGCTGGAGCCTCGGCCCAGTGGACCCGCGCAGCCGAGCACAGCCTGACCCACGCGCTGCACACGCACCCGCGGGGAGAACCCATGCCTGCGAGCACGGCCCGACCCCTGTGCTCCTCCTTTGTCCCGTGTTGTACATCGAACGGCTCAGCACAGGACGCAGAGTCGGCCGGTTCGGCACCTGCTATTCCTGCCCACACCGCCCAAAGCAGCCAGCTGCCCTTCTCCAGCTCCCTGTGCAGCCTGCGACTTCCTAGCGCCAGCACTGCGCACGCACCCAGGCTCTGCCCCTCCCCTGCCCCCTTCCTGCCCCCCTCCATCACATCCCGGGCACCCTCATCTTTGGCTCGTCCATGGGGGGGGGCTGACTATGCCCGTCCCCTGGCCCTGTCAAACCCTGCAGTGCAGCCGCCCCGCAGAGCACGCTGGAGGGTGTGGACCGTCCCAGGACGGGGTGGAGGCTTTCTCAGGCCTGCAGAGCGCGGAGCTGCCCAGGTCCTCGGCGCGGCGACACCCATCCTGGGCGGTGCCTCTGCGAGTGAGCGTGGGCATCACCACTGGGACACGGCCAGGGGGCTGGGCTCTCCCTGAACGACTGTTCCCCCGAGGGCCAGCGAGACCAGGCGCCCCAGCGCTCCGGGCCTGAGAACTGCCCAGGACGGCATTCCGTGCGTCTCTGGCCCCTCCCCTTCTTGTCAGCCTCAGGCTCACGCTGGACGCCCAGGGGACACCCGGGGCCAGGGCAGCGAGCAGGTGGGCTCGTGTTTGCAGCCTGCCCTCGGGGGGCCTGGAACAAGGCCCAGCAGCACCCCGAGCCACACTGGCTGGGGAGTGAGACCGGACTGGCTCTGTGATGGTGGGGGGCATGCCTCACCCTTTGGGGGCCCCGAGGGCCTGTTCCCGGGAGGAGCCAACCCTCTGGTGCGGGGCGGAGGGCAGCAGAGCAGCACCAGAGAGGGCAGCAGCTTCCCTTGGGCCTGAGATCTGACAGGCTCAGCCTGCACACCCTGAGGCCTCCCTCTCCTGGGGCAGGAGCAAATGCCTTCCAAGGCAGCAAAGACCTCACCTGGGGGCCCCAAACTTGCCCCCTAGGTGACGTGGGCCCGGAGACCCAACAGGCAAAGTAAATGTAGCCTGAGAAACAAACAACAACCAGAAACCGGGAAGTCCCGACTCTGCCCACCCCTCAAGAGCACTCCCGGGGGACACCCATGAGCCCTCCACCCCGCCTCCACCAGGACCCCCAGAGAGACTGCACATCCCTCAAGAGCACTCCTGGGGGTGTGACCACATCCATGAGCCCTCCACCCCGCCTCCACCAGGACCCCCAGAGAGACTGCACATCCCTCAAGAGCACTCCTGGGGGTGTGACCACACCCGTGAGCCCTCCACCCCGCCTTCACCAGGACCCCCAGAGAGACTGCACACGGCGCTGGTCCATGTTTCACAACTTTAATAGAATATTCTAACTATTCTGTACAAGTTGAAAACAGCGTATTCAGTTACAAATGTGTCTTAAGTAAGGCTGAGCACTCTCCAGGCCCGGTCACAATGTGGACCTGGCGCCCGGCTCCCAGGGACCGCGGTCACACACTCGGAAACCCACACGCCAGTCAAGAACAGGCCGCTCTGAACCCAGGGCTTTTAAGACGATGCACACGGGTCTGAGAAACGGGAGCTGATGAGACGCGACACTGGGACAGGAGGACAGATGTGCCCGCCCAGCTCTGCCACAAGACGGGCACGGCACTGCCCACAGCCCGCCCGGCTGGGAGGGTCCCCACGGCACGGAGAAGCCCTGGCCCGGCAGCGTGGCAGGAGGAAGTGCTCCTGTCCACACAGGCCTCGCTCCCAGAGGAGCTGCTGCCACGTCCTCCCAGCCGGCACCAGGCTCCAGTCACTAACGTGGTTTCAGACACTCGAGGGCGAGCGGCAGCATGTGTCCCGAGCCCTCCCACACAAAGGGACAAATAAATACGAGATGCACCCCAGAAGCTGCGCCTCTGCACTGTGGCGCCACGACCCCACCCCACCCCCAGGAAAACAAACCAAAGCGAGAACACACTGAGGAGAACGCCCTGCTCCCCAGCTCCTCCGAGGGCATCAGACAGAGGACCAGGTGGCCGGAAACAAAGCGTGGGGTGTCTTCAAACGAGACGGGAGTAAAAGCTGCCAGACGTCTGTCCTGGGCTCGGGGACCTTCCACCCCCACCCACATGGTCTACGGGTTCCCCTGAAGCAGGGCCTGGGAAAGTCTACTGAGCTGCACCCAAGGCCGTCGAGGGTGCTGGAATTGAACCTCCTACTCTGAAATGCATTTAAGTTGCCACTGTACAGGTTAAGCAAAACAGTAAGGAAAGAGAAGTGAAGTGAAAACCATGCACTTGAAAACAGGTCCGGTATGGGCGCTGCGCCGACAGGTCCTCCTGGCTCACTGCTGCTTGCACTCGGAGGGCTGGCTGGGCTCCTTCTGCCAACGAGAGAAACGAGACGTGTAGAGGACCTGTCCGCTTCCCACCCAGCTTCTCCCACCAGCTAGGAAACACCCATGCACTGTACAGTTCATTGTAACCGAAAAAAATGGCTACTGCAAATACACTTTTAAAACAGTAACAAAGAAACAAGCTAACTTCTCAAAATGTCACAGCAGAGCTGTCTCTTATCTAAAGAGGCCCGTGAGACGCTCCACTTCCGGGTGTCGCAGCGGGGGGCCTCGGGCAGAGTGGCTCCTTGGGCTGCAGGGTTCACAGGTGATAGGGGACCACGTCCCAAGGCTGGAAGGCAGCGGGGGCTCTGGGAAGCCACGGTGCTGCCCCACGCGTTCCCTGCCACCACGGACAGGGTCAACACTCACCTGGAAGGGTCCCCGCTCCCGCCCCATGCTCACGCGAAGGCTCTCTTCCCTGGGCCTCTCTTTGCTAACAGGGAGTGTCCGCAAAGCCATCACACCAAGGGTCTCCACAGACAAGCCCCGACCCTCACCGGTGTCCCCCAAGTGGTGGGAATCCTATCCTTCTAGAAAAAGGCAGCAAGAGAGAACCCTCCACCCCCAAACCACTTCAGCGTGGTCTACTGTTCACACCCCTACCACAGAAACTGTACCCAGCGACCAGTGAATGCTGTGTGGGGCACACAGCCACCCGCCCACCCATCCGGGCCTAGGCCACACTGCTCCGCACCACCTGGCCCGCGCTGAGAACCACCGGAGACAGCGTGGCTGACACTCTCTATGGAGCAAGCTAGGGCTACAGCTCGTCCTTCGGGAACTCCCATTTAAGGGATGAGAAAATACATAGAGGACACACACAGTGACACCTGGACCCTGGTCGTGGACCAGAGATCCTAGCCAAAAAGTTCCAACCTAAAAACTGTCATTTCAGGGGCTGCCCCCAACCCAGTGCTGCGCCGGCAGGAGAGGGGTGTGTGCCTATGCAACATCCTGGGCAAAGGCCGCAGGTGGGAGGAGGTGTGGCCCAGGAAGGGTTCTGCAGGGGACGGGGCGGGGTCAGGCGTACAGGAAGGGTCTCACAGATAACAAGTGCCCTGAGAAGGGGACACAGAGCAGCCCGAGCACACAGCCCGGTGCCCGGCAGGGAGGACAGGAAGCAGCTGCCGGGCCAGGGTGGTGCTCTGTGGCTGCACCAGCAGACCCTCACATACAGAGCCAGGTGGACGATCCCCGGTGCTGCAGAGTAACTGGCGGGGGCGGGGAGGGAGTGGGCTTCGGGCACAGCCTGCCAAATAAGCTCTTCAGACATGTGGGTGGCAGCAATTTAAGTGACCAGCCCTGACCTTAAAGCACCGAAGATCACTTCACTCCATCTAAGCTGCACCTTCAGCCCAGGTCCGCGCCTGGTCGAGGGAGACAGGACAGCGCACAGACCCTCAAGGGTGCTGATCGGAATGAGCACCAGGAGCAGGAACCACGATCCCAGCTCCCAGCTGCACGACTCTACCAGCTGCCTTCTGGCCAACAGGCAGAACCTGGGACTTCCCAGAGTCACCGGACTGCACCCATCTCTCAGTGTCTCCGTCACAGCCTCTCTCCCTCCCCTATCAGCACCACCGCTCCAAGTAGTGAGGTGACCCACACAGGGGACGTGGCTCCTGGGGCTGGCTGTCCTTACTGAACCAAGGCCGCGGCAGCCTCCGGGCACACACTAACCCACACCACACGGGCCAGCAGCTGTGCAGATAGAAATTCCAGCACAAAGTTCAGTTACCCCTTTATTATCTACTGGTCTGCACAATGCCTAAATTTTACAAGTCTAAATAATCAACAAATCCTGTCCAGAAAAATCAGGGAGCTGGCTCCTGCTGCCCCAGTGAGCAGGGTGGCAGGAGCCTAGGGGACAGCTGGGAGCAGCAGGGGCAGGGAAGCCTGTGGCCTCGAGGAGGACTGCGGGCCACTGGCACGTGTGCCCCACAGGATGCCCACCTCCCAGGGCCTCTCTTTCTGTCGTCTTCCTGGAGGCAGTCCCGCCGCTGAGAGAAATGCCACACCAGTTGCACCTTGGCTGTGTGGTCGCACGAAATACTGGGCTTGGCAAGCAGGAGCCAAGTGTGGTTTCTGTCCCTCGGTTCCAAAAGCACACACAGCAGACCCCTACACAAGTCTACTAGTCAGAGAGCCAGAGTGCAGCCTGGCACGGGTACCCGCACAGCAGCTTCCTCTGTACCCACCGTCACATCAAGACATTGTCATAAAGCACAGATCACAATTGGAAAGTAGGAATGAATGGAGCCCACCGTGCCTAGGAACGCAGGGACGACCGGCAGAAACGAGCCTGAGCGGAGCAGCTGTCGCGTGGAGAGAACGGAGGCGGCCGAGGGGGCTGCGAGCACGCTCCACGCCAGCTGCGGCCTCTCGCCCCGCTCCCCTGGTCCTCTCTGCGGACTCTGACGGGTGCCTCTGCAGTGTCACAGGGACAGGACCGCGGCCCCGACCGCACAGTGCAGGCGGGCCTAGCACCTCACAGCACCAGTCCACAGACTTCAGAGCTCAGACACTTCCCGAAGGGTGAGCACGAACAGCCTTCTACGTTTTGCCAGGTTCTTGGTGACCACATGGTAACACCTCTCCCAGAGACAAACGTGAGGAAAGAGGGCATCAGACAGCAACGAGAACGGGGCGGAGTGCCTGCGTCTCAAGGGGGCTCTAGAAGCCAAACCTTGACTGCGCTCAGCAGCACCCCAAGGGCAGACACAGCCAGGTCCACATAGCTGGGGCTCGGGCACAGCAGTGTGGAGTGCCCTTATCACCCATTTCTGTTAACTAACAGACAGCTCTCAGCTTCCCGCTCCCCAAGTGTGACCCACTCCAGGCCAGGCCCAGGTCCACGTCCCCCTTTCGACCCTCACCAGCCATCACTCAGAAGTGAGCACAGGTGTGTTTTCAATAGTTGCCCCGTGATGAACAGGCTGACTTATGAGAGATGAGGGTGTCCGTGGGAACACCGACAAGGGCTGACCCACCACCGCCCCCGCAGGGACGCCCACCACGAGCACGTGTGCACAGACACGCGCCATGTCAGATCACAAGGCTGCCCGGCACGCAGACTGCTCAGGGCACCGCTTCCTCTGGGCAGAAACGGGGAGACGCGCAAGCGCTGTCGAGGTCACTAGAGATCTGCGCTACGAGCAGCAGGTGACGGGGGTGTTCTGACAGCGTGGGTGAGGCAGGCGAGTTATACCCTCACGCAGCAGAGCAGGGCGAGGCCTTGGGAGGGCAGTTCTGTAGGAAATATGTGCTGACTGGCAAAGCACTTTCGTTTAAGGTGATTTGAGAGCTGGAGTAAAACTCTGGACTTACAGGTAAAATTAATGGGGCTGCCCTCTCATTTCTGTCCATTTTTTTTTAAAGCTTCCTAGTCTATTTTAAATTAGGAGACCTTAGACATAATTTCTAAGTTTTCTCAGCCCAATCCGATTGTGAATTACACTTACCACACCATCACTCTATTCACTTAAAAAACGCTAAGAACAACATCCTCCTCCCAAAAGCGCCTTCTGTGCACCCTTCCGAAAACGAGCCCACAGGAGTGCGCCCGGGGCGCCCTGCCGGGGAAGCGAGGGTCGGGACGAGGCAGCGCAGCCGTGGGGGAGCCGCGCCCTGGAGCACGCACACTCACCGGCACGAGGTGGCCGGTCGTCTCCCACGCAAGCATTTCCATGAACTCTGAGTTCTCTGCCGCGAGAAGGGCTCGCGTGCATCCCTAACACCAGTGCCTCCGAGTGGGGACGTGTTCAACAGCACGGCCGGGCAGCCCCAGAATAACTCACCTTGGGGTTCACTTCGGCGTCGTCCTCATCTTCTCCCTCCTCGTCTCCTTCTAATTCCTGTACCGAGAGGGGGGACAGGACTCAGTTGTGGTGGGCCCAGGGGCCACAAAGCAAAGCAATACTCAGTCTTAGAAGGAAACAAATTACTTCCCACAACTGACTAAGTCACGTCCTTGGACACGTATAGTGTTTTCGGGCGAGCTTTCTGTTCTCAGACAGCCCCGAGACTGACATGTGCTGGGAAGCAGGTTCTGCTGATTAAATCGTTATTTCCTAGGTGCCTTCCCGTCAGCTAAACACAAGGTCAGACGGGACACTGCCTGGCATGTGCCACCATCCCGCGGCGTCGGCGGGCGGACAGGCTGAGGCAGCGGCACACCAACGGTGCAGCCAGGTCCCGTGCACGCAGCACAGAGCCCAGCGCACCCCAGGCAATGCCGCTGCTGCTTCGGGCTGGACTTACCTCCTCTTCTCCTTCCTCACCTTCTTCAAACTGAAAAAGAAGAAATACATGTTTAGGTTTCGGAAGCATGGTGGCCACCTGACCCAGAAGAGGTCCCTGTCCAGCCCCCCACCCCAGGGCAGGCCTAAGAAAGGCAGGAAGTCCGGCTCTGAGTGGAGGGCAGCATGGCTCACGGCCAAGCTCTCAGGGGCCATCTGTGCTGGGCATGTCTGGGTGCCAACCCGTGAGCCGGCCAGGGCCAGCGCTGCAGGAACGCTCGTTCACAAGCCCTACCCTGTTAACAGGATGCCAGGTACCTGGAACCCAGTCGAAACAAGGACTGAGGATGGGAGCGGGGGTGAAGAAAGAAGACTGTCGGCTTGGGCGTCTGCTGGCCCAGCTAGGAAACTGGCTATCTCAGCAAACCAGCAGCACAACTTGACTGCATACAGGAATGTATGTGTCATTTCATACCTCACGCAAGGGGAAATCTTTATTAGAAACATAATGAAACACTGGTGTTGAATCTTTCAAGTCAGTCAGAACTGAAGTGCGCATGGGCGAAACCCCAGCACTGTGGCTGGTCGGGAATGAACTTCCCCACGTGCAAGGACGTCACTGGTCAGCTCTCATTCAAGTTCCAAACACCAGATGGGATCAGAACCATACAAACACATAAACACTTCACTGCTAGTGGCTACGCAACACGCGGCACACGCAAGCTCCGTGGGCTTTCCTGTGACACTGCTGTCTCTGGAGCCCACACACGTATTCCTTAGAGTCAAGCAGGGGGAGTTCGGAGTGCCTGGTGCTGGAGTGCCATCTCGAAGGGCGGGTCTAGCTGCCCACCCTCCTGCAGAGCTGGCCTGTGCCCGCCGGGAGCTGAGCGCCCTTCCCTTTCCTTCTGAGCGCTAACCCGCCCGGGCAGGGAAGACCTCTTGGTATCTTGGACCCACAAGACCCTCACCGCTTTCAGGTCCGATAGGAACCAGCTCAAAAAGGCTCAGGTGCGGTTTTTCTTTCTTTTTTCTTCCAATCCTCATGCAAGAATATTTTTTTGCACTGATTTTGACAGTGGAAGCAATGGAGGGAGAGGGAGAAAGAAACGCTGATGTGAGAGAGACACAGTGATCGGTTGCCTCCCGCACACACCCCAACTGGGGCGGGGGATAGAACCCGAAACCCAGGTAGATGCCGTTGACCGGGAATCGAACCTGAGACACTTTGGTGTGCGGGCTGATGCTCTAAACACTAGGCCACACTGGGCCAGGACACAAGTGTGGGCTCTTCTGAGTTTCCAAGCACATCCTTCCAGCTGGACCTCCTTAGCTCCGCACAGGCCTGTCTCAAATGCATCTCACACCTGGGTAGAGAGCATGGGTCACAACATGGGGGCACACAACCCATGGGACGAGCAAGATGGCCCAGAACAGCAGGGAAGACACAACCAGAACTCCTATATCCACTTCAACCAGCCTTTCCTAAAATTTAAGTCTCAGCAAATACTTGAGAGCGGAAGGGACAGCACGAGGCGAAGCCTTCAGCACAGGGAGAACTGGGGGAGCAGGCCTGCACTGTGACAGTGCGAGGGAGGCAGCCCTTGCTCGCCCCGCTCCTGCTGCGCAGCAGACATCGAAAGCCAGGAAACCCAGGAGCGTCCAGGAGGCGGAGCTCTGAAAGCAAGGGAACAGAGCACCCACCGCGCCCCAGTGACATGCTATAGAACAACACTCATCTCCACTGCTCAGGATCTGCGGCAAGAGCCTCGGTGCCGAAGGAAACTGCCCCAGGAGCCAGCCGCAGGGCAGCCGCAGGCTGTGCCCGGGGGACCACGCAGCTGGCTGGGGAGGGCTCGTCTCCTCGCAGCCGCCCTTCCTCAGTGCGCGGGCCGGTACCCTTTCGGGGTCACTGCACCGCAGGCCAGCATGAGTCGGCTCTGCAGCAGCTGCCTGTGTGGTGTGACCAGACCTCCAAGAACGAGGGTCCCTCCTGGTTAGCAGTCACCCAGAACTTACAGGTCTTAAGGAGGACATAGCAAACCCCCGGGGTCTTCAGGACACCCTAAAATGAGCCAGCATGGCGGTGTGGCTTACATGGGACCGCCCCAGACACCTGCTTCCCCAGCTGCTGTGGCCTTTCCCCTCCCTCCACCTCGCCACAAACACCAGAGCAGCGCCACCTATCCCGGGCGAGGGCTGTCCCCAGCACATACGTTGTCATCATCTTCTATGGCCTCCCCCGTGAAGTACAGCACGGCCCTCGGGACTATCCGCTCACGGAAGAAGTGTCCGATCTCAAAGTCAGAGGCTAACGTGAACTCGGAATCTTCATCCTAGGAGGGAAAACCTACGTGTTAACTCACTTCAGTTGGTAAACACCACATTCTCTCACCTACACCTTGCCCCGCACTTTGGTAACTTGGCTGAAGCCCCCAAGGCCGGCACTGCCAGGTGACAGCGCCATGGGCTGAGCAGCGTTAAAGGCAGCAGTGAGAAGGGGGGGCAGGAAGGTGCAGCCCAGAGGGAACGCGTGCTTTTGTCCCGCCCCAGAGGGTAGTGAACACAAATTCACCCCAGGATTTTAGGGACCAGGAACAGATTAAAAGAAAGTAGGTAACCATTTAGGAAATACAGACTTTAACAGCAAAGTTAAGAGGCTTTTAATAACAACACAAATCTTACCAGTGATTCTCCATCCCCAGACGCTAGAAAAAGACAAAACACATCCACGTTACGCTGACGAGCAAAAACGCTCCAAGCCCACACAGGAAGCTCAGCTGACAATAAAATGGAACATCTCCCAACTGGAGTTTTTCACTGGAAATCACCTAAGCTTTCTGCCTCCTGGTGGGCACCCACAGCACCTGCGCCCCACTCATCCCCACCTCACTCCTGGGCCCTGGTGGGGTACTGAGCTGCTCACAGACCCAGCTGAGGACGCCAACCTTCAGAGGAGCACTGACACCAGTTTAAACAGTAACAGGTGGGAGGTATGCCGAGTGGCCCAGGCCGTGGCCACTGAGTGCACCTGTGCTGTGAGTGGAGCTTTAACTCGTGTCCTGCAAAACCTCCCGTGACGATGCAGTAGACAAGGGGGACAATCTTTGAGCTTCGAAGTCCTAGAGAGGTCAAAACTGCATTCCTGTCTGTTTAGAAAGGAGGAAGGAGAGAACAGAGTGCTGAAACCTTCCTGCAAGATGAGAAGCTGCCCTGTGGGCTGGGTGCACTCACTACCGCCCCGCCACAGAGCATCCCGGCTCTGCACTAAACATGATGCCGAGATCTGGTTGCACACAGGACACAGACTGTGGGGAACTGAGCATGAGGGGAAAACTGGGACTTAAACCCACACTCAGTGAAGCCCAGTGACATTCAAATTATCAAGGGATCCAAAGCCCTAATTTTATTTACTTAATATTTTCTTTATTTTAAATATGTTCTTCTTATTGATTTTTTTAGAGAGAAAGGGAAAGAGAGAGAAACACTGATGTGAGAGAGCCGTGGATCACCTGCCTCCTGCACGCCCCCTACTGGGGGTCAAGCCTGCAACTTGGGAATCGAACGGGGACCTCTCAGTCCATGAGACGAGCTCAAGTCACTGAACCACACCAGCCAGGCTCAAATCCCTAATTTTAGAAATGCTGCTTCGAGGCCCTGACTTTCACCAAGAGTTGAGTGTTAAATTTGATGGCTTTATCAGTGCCTGTCCCCCTCCATGTGAGTCTGACTTTCCCAGGGTTGTCACACAGGAGGTGGCCATGCTGAGATCTGTGGAAACACCACCCTTCAGGCCGTGGTCCGCATGTAAGCATCCCATGGGCTGTTAAAATCCAGGTTTGGGGGCCCTGGCCTGGAGTCAGGGATCAGCACTAGGGCCTTCCTCACTTGACTTCTGAACCTGTTTTTGAGTTTAAGAACAAAGAGGCTGCCCTGGCCAGTTTGGCTCAGCGGTTGGAGCGTCGACCTGTGGTCCAGAGAGACCCGGGTTCAGTTCCTGCTAAGGGCACGTACCTCAGTTGCAGTTTGTCCCCGGCCCTGGTTGGGTAATGCGAGTGGCAACCACTCGATGTGTCCCTTTCATATCGATGTTTTTTTCTCTCTCTCTTCCTCTATCTCCCTCCCGCTCTATCTGAACAAAAAGTGGAAAAATGTCCTCGGGTGAGGATTAAAAAAAAAAGAGGCCGCTGGACTAGCCATGTTAATGTTTCCTTCATTTCAAGAATTATGTCATCGACTTTCCTTGGCTACCCCACACTGCCTCCCACTGCCAGCCACACTGTTTCCTTAGAGCTTATCACGTGAAGTTATGTTCACTTGATTACTTTAACAATACCAATATTGAGCTATAATTTCCGTACCACAAAGTTCACCCCCCTGAGTATACAATTCAGTGTTGCCTGGTACATTTTTAGTGTGGTGTAGGCACTACAATATAGTTTTAGGAAACACTGCCCCCCAATGTCAATCCCAAAATTCTCAAGTCCACTTTATTCCATTTTGATTTTATCAAGTATTTCAAATCCAGTTTAAGGAAACTTCCAACAAATCAAAGTGCTTCTGTGTTGTGAATCCACACAAATACCCTCCAAAATGCTACACACACACACACACACACACACGAGGCTCCAAAGGGATCTTGGGACAGAGAAAACTAAAGGACCGAATGTATGGCTGTTCTTGTCCCTCAAACCAATGCACACTTGTATCTTCTAGGTTCAAAGATAAGTCACAGAAAATATCCACTATGGCCAAAGACTGGACTTAGTGGTGAGCGGGAGCAGAACAGAGGGGGGCGCTAGGCTGAGACAAGGTCAGGAGGTGAAGGCTCAGCCTCGGCCAGTCTGGCTCAGCAGCTGGAGCATCGGCCCGCGGACCGGAGAGCCCAGGTGCAGTCCCCTCCAAGGGCACGCGCCTCAGTTGCAGTTTGTCCCTGGCCCTGGCTGGGGTCGTGTGGGTGGCAGCCACTCGATGTCTCTCTCACATCGATGTTTCTCTCTCTCTCTCTACCTCCCTCTCTCCCTCCAGCTTTTTCTGAAGATAAATGCAAAAATGTCCTTGGGCGAGGATAAAATAAATTAATTACAAAAAAAAAGACGACGACAAAGTCAAAGGCTCAGACTAGAGCGGAGACTCCGCGTGCCCGGGGAGTGCCAGGAGGACTGGCGGCTCCGTATCTCAAACCAGTTTTAACCATGGGAAGTAAAGAGCCCATGTTTTTCTCTTATCTACATTTTTTGTTTTTTATCCTCACCCAAGGACATTTTTCCATTTTTTTGTTCAGATAGAGTGGGAGGGAGAGAGAGAGAGAGAAACATGGATGTGAAAGGGACACATCGAGTGGCTGCCACCCGCACGACCCAACCAGGGCCGGGGACAAACTGCAACCGAGGTACGCGCCCTTAGAGGGAACCGAACCCAGGTCTCTCCGGACCGCAGGCCGATGCTCTAACCATTGAGCACACCGGTCAGGGCTCATATCTACATTTTAACATGACCAACTGTTCTGTCTTCACATTCTCTCAGGGCTAGAAAATTATATTGAGACGTCCAAGTAAGTATTCTGATAACCAGGTGCTCCCTCTCCTAACTCAGAGGTTCCATCTTTATTTTATGACTCAGGGAAACAACACACAAAACTGAAACTTCCCAGCTACGCTTCTGCTCTACGTCCCTCAGCACGGAAATGCACACACCTGCCAGCACAACACATACAGGGTGTGCACATAAAGCACGACCCCTGTGTTCCATCAAGCCGCATGCAGAGGGCAGGCAGGGACCAGCTGTGCACATGCACAGACGCAGGGAAGGCTGCAGGGCTGAGCCCCCCGCAGGGCTTCGTGGCACAGACAGGGCAGGGACGGAGGTCCGAGCAGGCATGGCGTTCTCTGAGTGGAGCTCAGGGTGCCACCTCAGCTTCCTGGAAGCACAGAGCCTCTGGAACAGCTCCGTCCCCTTAACAGCCAAGCTCTGAGGTTCACAAGTCCTTTTATATAAGCACAGGTCACCCCACAATCCAAAAGCAGAGTCCCTATGAAATCTGTCTTAAGCCAAAAGGGGTAAAGCAAAGAAGCAATTACCATTCATTTAGATGGAAAAAATTTTTATGTTCCCAGAACCAAAAATAACCTACCAAAGAACACATAAAACCTAAAGTAACACCGACAATAGCCCAAGCAGGAATGACATGATAGACAAAAGCACTCTGCAGCCGCCAACCACGCAAGCAATGCTTCCCATGTTATCCATGGGCGCCGCTCTGCTGCCGGCAGCTGTCAAGGCCATGTGGGTGGCCTTCTTTCCAAACCAGGTGTGGATGGTGGGCGCAGGCATCTCAGTGCACACGCTACGTCTTCATTTCATTCATCAAAACTGCCTCACGCTGCGTGCTACACCTGCACTCTCGGGCTCCCCTCACACCCACACACTCACCTTTCAGTGGACTGAAGAAGTTGAAAAATGAGTCGTTGGGGACTTGCTTGGTGATTGTTCTGACGGTGCCTCGACCCTTGTGTTTCTGTTTTTTCTTGATAGTTTTGACTGTAACATTTTTTCCTTTCTTCCAGTCAATAGTGCACCTAGGGACAAGACAGCCATCAAGGACACGTACTTCAGGAGAAAGACGGACCACAAGTGCACACAGCAAACAAAAGCCCAGCTCTGCCTGGCAAGTGCACTGGCCCGGGGAGTCTGCTAACCCCTGGCTGCAAGCACGGCACCCACGAAGCGCACGTGCGGGCCAGGGAGACACGGGCGGCCTGCACCACCCTGACTCAAGTGTGGGCTTCTGCACTGCAAGGGCATTATTTCCCCGAACCTTCCACGCAGACTCTGCACTGTGTTTTCAGTGAAGAACTCCAATCAAGGCTAGGCGAAGGCGCCTCAAGAGAGCCTGTCACCTGCTGCCTCTGGACACCCCAGAGTGCACTGGAAGTTACCACACACCCCCGAATTCTCAAGGCAACTGAGTGGGACAAGGTGGAGAAAGAAAGCAGGTGACCAGCGTCAACACTAACGACCAGTGCAAAACACACCCGCCGTTCCAGGAGTGCTGAGCAGTCCTTGGTGGGTCCGAGCACAGTATGCTTTCTAACTCTTTGAATCACCTTGGGCCAACAGGTAACACCTGATAGCATCCGAACAGTGTCGGCTCTAGAGAATGCCTGGGAAGCAGGCCTACTTCTCATATGATGGCTCCCTGGGAAACAGCCCTCTTGAAATTACTCAGCCCAGCAAGTCTATCAGGATTTTAATTAAGTTCTGAATTACCCACCCAGGGAGACTGACAAGGACAAGCGAATACAAATAACTGTTTCAACTCGAGATGAAACAGTTTCCCAAACCATCTCAAACTAACCAAAAGGAATAAACTCAAACTACATTCATTCCTTGGTGACCTACAGACTGGAATAGCCACAGTGCTCGACCATGAGTCAAAGGACAATTAAACTGCCCCATCAATTTGCAAAGCAAGCAACTGACCAACGCTGCTGTGCGTTGACTCATTCACTCATCAACAACACTGTGCTGAGGGTAATGACCACAGTTTCACCAATGGTGACTAGGGAACCCAATCCCCTAATTAAAACGAGGAAGCTGGGCCACTGACCCAAACCCTTCACACGTAACCACATTTCCCAACGCCGGCCATCGTATTTTCAAACAGAAAAACTATTTAATCTTTGTCTACTGGGCTTTGAAGCAGATCAAAGACTTCCTGCTTCATTCCTAATTCCTACCTTACTCATAAAGCTCGAGAATCGTCTCTCCTAGTCTTGCTGCAGAAGCAGTTGAAGGCATTCCTTACCCGTCACAGTCGACTATCTCAGGCCCTTCGAAGGAAAAGGGGTCGGCTTTGTCTGGCTCTGACTTCATCTTGTACGTCTTGGTCAGGACTGAGTTGGTGAAGTAGTCGTTGGGTTCGAAGTGGAACTCTAATACAAAGGACTGAAACAAAGACTCAGGGTGAGCACCACCTAAATCTACAAACACCTGGTGACGGATATCATAAGCCACACAGTACTTACTGGAAACCAGCTCCTACCTAAGCAGGATGCCACTGGCAGAAACCACACTGAAAAGCGCAACAGTGTGGCTATGTGACAAGAAAACCTTTATTGCAAAAAACACGCCACAAAGTTAAAAGCACAAATGGCAGGCTGGAGGTTCCTATTGCCCTCTGGTCTGCAGGAAGGGTGGGGGCGGGTTTGTGTGTCTCTCCTTCAGCGGAGGTCAAGCTGGGGGGGGGGGGTGGCGTGGAAGGTCTGGAGGGAGAAACTGGGCATCGTCGGCCCCACCCTCCCCTCCTTTCTCCTGGATGCAAGCAGAACATGGCTTTCTTTGTTCTGCAGTGAACTGGTGAGACCTCTCGGGGGCGGGGAGGAAGCACACACCACACCAAGGACAAGTTCACCCTTCAGTCACAATGCACTCTACACTCTGAAGAGAAACAGCATAACGGGGAAAACGGACAAGTACACAAAGTAGTCATAAACAAAACCAAACAGCCAACACAAAAGACAGCTACACTCGCGAGCACCAAAGTAAACGACAATAAAATCAGACGCCCTGCCCACTGCAGTGTCTGGGAAGCAGACGCACTCGCACACTGTGAACTGCTTTCTGAAGGACAACCTGCGATATCCAAAGATCAATAAAGTAAAAAACCTGCCCTGGCCGGTGTTGCTCATTGGTTAGAGCGTTGGCCCGTGCACCGAAGGGTTGTGGGTTCGATTCCTGGTCAAGGGCACATGCCCCGGTTGCAGGTTTGATCCCCGGCCCCGGTCGAGGGGCACGAGGTGGTGGGGGTGGCACATTAGGGGAATGCTACATAAACCATAAGACAGCAACAGATGTAATGAGAACCGCGTGCTGCCCAGCAGAGCCCACATGCCAAGGAAAGAGCAGTGTGGCCGTGTCCACACATTCCCACTCCACTTGCTACCATGTCAGAGTAGGGCCCAGGGAGGGAAAAGCTAATGTGCACGTGGTGGGTGGGGCAACACATTGGCCCTCTCATTCTGGAGCTAAGTGGCTTTATTTTGCCTTTATAGCTCATAATAACTGTTAAAGAACAAGACTAAGGGAAACTAGCTGCTGAGTTGCTTCTAGAAGACGGAGGCTGGCTTGTGTTTGCTCGGGAGAGAAAGAAAGCAGGCCCAGGGGACCCTCAGACAGTGTCCAACAACAGCTAAGGAAGAAAAGAGGGAACCGCCCTGGCCTGTTTGGCTCAGCGGTTAGAGCGTCGGCCTGCGGTCCTGAGAGACTCGGGTTCGGTTCCCGCTAAGGGCACGTACCTCGGTTGCAGTTTGTCCCAGGCCCTGGTCGGTTGTGCGGGTGGCAGCCACTCGATGTGTTCCTTTCACATCGATGTTTCTCTCTCTCTCTCTGTTCCTCTCTCTCCCTCCCACTCTACCTGAACAAAAAATGGAAAAATGTCCTCGGGTGAGGATAAAAAAAAAAAAAAAGAAAAGAGGGAACCAACTGATGTTTCTCTCTCACATATGTTTGTCAGTCTCCCTTCCTCTCCCCAAAATCAATAAAAACATATCATCAGTTGAAGGTTTAAAAAAAAAGACTGAAAAATGCTTCCCTCCTCTGACTGTCACAAACCCATCTTCCCCGAATACCTGCTACAGTGCGGAAACTGAACCTAGATGAATGCCGACTGAGAACGCAGTGTGAGGGGAAAACGTAGAATCTTAGAAGTGCGCTCACTCATGGGAAAGAATTCACGCAGCGTAGCAGACGAGGTCCCATGGCCACAGGCAGCCTCCAGGGGGCGCTATGGCAAAGTCTCTACACAGGTGAGAACACTTACTGGACAGAGGACAAGAGGAGGGCACTATGATACCCCCAGATGCTGCAATAGGGGAGAAGGGGTCCCCTCCGCCACCAGAGTGGCCTCTCAGCCTGGGAGCAGGCATCACTCTGGCTCATAACGCCACCTCACTGGCAGAAGGACAGCTGAATGTCAGCTGAATGTCACCTCCCAGAGCGCAGCAGACAGGAAAAGGGGAAGGGACATGTACAGGTGTGTGCCCCAGCCCCAGCCCACAGTGTCACCTGCAGGACTAGGGGGAGAGTCCCATTCACACTGGCCCTCATCCCCTGCCTGGGGCTGGTGCGCTGCCACCAGGAGGGAGGAGACCCAGGCGAGGTCCCCACCAAGATCCCTAACTCACAGCCCTAGGTGCTTGTCTCCAAAACCTGAAACTGAGAGCCACCAGCGAGTCAGTCAGTCACGTGTCATTGGAGCTGCTGTAGCACTGGAATGGAACCCGTTAGCCACAGCCAGATTAACAGGTCACGAACAGTGCTCCTGTGAGCACCCAGCTCAGCTAGGGCCTCCACCATCCCAGCATTTCCCCAGAGAAAAGCGAGGGCTGGCTGAGGTCTAAGTGGTAGGGGCAGACCCCCCTCCCCCAAGCACTAAAACAACACACTGTAGCAGGTATTCGGGGAAGATGGGTTTTGTGACAGTCAGAGGAGGGAAGCATTTTTCAGTCTTTTTTTTAAACCTTCAACTGAGGATATATCTTTATTGATTTTGGGGAGAGAAAGGGTGGTGGAAGCGGGGAGAGGGGAGAGGGAGGGAGACAGACATCGATGTGAGAGAGAAACATCAATTGTTTGCTTCCCATGCACACCCTGACTGGGGATTGAACCTGCAACCTAAGTAAGTGCCCTGACCGGGAATCAAATCTACCACCTTTTGGTTTTGGGACATTTTATCCAACCGAGCCCCCGGCCAGGGCAATCTGCAGGTACTTTTTAGAACGGACACCCAGCAATACTCGAGTACATACCCACCATCCTTCCAATCCGATATGATAGACACCAGATCTATAAAAACCTTGGAGGTGCTTAAAAAAAGGATGGCAGAGCCCTGGCCAGTTTGGCTCATCGGTTGGAGCATCGACCTGCGGTCCAGAGAGACCCGGGTTTGGTTCCCACTGAGGGCATGTGCTCAGTTGCGGTTTGTCCCCGGCCCTGGTTGGTCGTGCAAGTGGCAGCCACTCAATGTGTCCCTTTCACGTCGATATTTCTCTCTCCCTCCCACTCTATCTGAGCAAAAATGGAAGAATGTCCTCGGGTGAGGAATAAAAAAAAAGGATGGCAGAGGAACAGACCAGCTGAGAAACCACAGCACAGCACGGTGAGGTAAGAAGTCCAATCCTGTACCAGCCGCCACACACAGCAGGTGGCCTGAGTTACCTTCCAGGCAGTCCTAATCTCCTTGGGCAGCATCTTGCTCAAGTCACCCTGGCAAGATGAGTGGTGATTTATTGCCCTGGCTCTGAGCCCTTACCCTCAGTGGCTTGATGCCCCTGGCAGCAACCAGCAGCTCAAACAATCAGGACTCACCATAGGTTGTCCAGGGTCTGAAAACTTCACTTTAATGTCCTGAAGGTGTTTCAAGATCGGCTCGTCATATTCCTAGACACAAAGAGAAACAAAATCTCTAGTGAGCTTTTTGAACAACACACGTGTCCTTGCCAAGTCACTGTTGCATCACTCCTGGATGCTGGACAATGGGCCCTGGTGGAGTCCTGTCCTTATCAAGTACTGACCCCAAGAAAGCCACCCAATCTGTTCCCTGACAACCAGTCTGAGGGCAGAAGACGCCACATCGCTGGTAACCGTCAGTGCCAGGCACCCAGGGCAGTGCCTTCAATGCCAGGACCAGAGGCCTGGCCACTCTCACACCACAGCTGCACTGTGCACAGGGACAGAGATGCCATCACTAGCTGGTCCTGGGCATCTCTGAAGAGAAAGAACCACAAGAAACACCTGGATCAGCTACTGACATCGGTGGCCAATGCCCCACCCCCTCATTGGCACGTGGCAATAAATATCCAAAACCCACAGCATCCAATCGCTCGGAGTTAAGAACACCCATGAGGCATGTTGGAGACCTACAGTGCAGGCACTGTATGAAAGCTTCTAACAACAGAGCAAGTGACTGTCATGCAAACTCAGAAGTTTACTAATACCTGCCATTCAAGAATGTTTTCCAAGAGAGAAATCGCCAGAAAAGAAATGACAAGACTCTAAACCCAATGACCACATCCAAATGAGGTGTTTCATCTGTAAAACAGCTTTTTATTACTTTTTTTTTTTAATCCTCACCCGAGGACATTTTTCCACTTTTTGTTCAGATAGAGTGGGAGGGAGAGAGAGGAAAAGAGAAAGAGAAACATCGACGTGAAAGGGACACATCGAGTGGCTGCCACCCGCATGACCCATCCAGGGCCGGGGACAAACTGCAACCGAGGTACGTGCCCTTAGCGGGAATCGAACCCGGGTCTCTCTGGACTGCAGGCCGACACTCCAACCGCTGAGCCAAACCAGCCAGGGCTATTATTATTACTTTTTTTAGAGAGAGGAAAGAAGGAGGAAAGGGAGGAGAGAGAGAGAAAAACCCATGTGAGAAAGAAAGAAACACCGATAGGTTGCCTCTCTCACGCCCCCCAACTGGGGATCAAACCAGCAACCTGGGATGTGCCCTGACCAGAAACCAAACCGCCAAACCCGCCACCTTTTCTTTGGTATACAGAACAATGCTCCAACCTACTGAGCCGCACCGGCCAGGGCAAACAGCTACTTCTTTACCCTTAAAGGCTGGGGAACGAACTGAAAGATTCCTTGAGGTTCCACTAAGTTCTAAGAATTGAGTGTGATAAACACCAAGTTTCCAATTTTAAATTTGAATATTACAGAACAAAATAAGAAACAGCAGCACAGGCACACGTAAGTCTCTAAACAAAAAGTAACCTCAGCCCGGCTGGTGTGGTTCAGTGGTTGAGCGTCGACCTATACACCAAGAGGTCGCCAGTTCAGTTCCTGGTCAGGGCACATGCCCAGGTTGTGGGCTAAAACCCCAAGGGGGGCATGCAGGAGGCGGCCATCAATGCTCTTGCTCATCGATGTTTCTATCTTTCTCTCCCTCTCCCTTCCTCTCTCTCTAAAATCAGTAAGGAAGAAAAAAAAAAGTTACCTCAGTCTGAGATGTCAAACCCCGAATTCCAGAAAACACCTGATTCTAAGACTGCATCTCTCTGACGGTGCCCGTGCCTAGTTCTAAATGCCAAGGTGAGTGTCATCACTTGTATGTTTCCCAACATGGCACCAGGATCGTCACACCCCTCCCCTCAGCCCAGCAGTGCCCGCTGGCTTTCCCAAGTCCACGAAGTAAAAGTGTTCCTCCCATGCCTCAAGGACAAGACCTCCATGTGGGTGGGCCAGAAGAGCCCAAAGCCCCAAAGCCCTAGGTGACAGATTCAGAACAAAACGCCCACAGGCACAGCAGTGGGGCACCACAGGGCTGAGAGCTGAAGCAGCTGCCCCAGGTCTCCTCAACTCCCCTGCAGGCGTCCACTCTGGCCACCCCAAGTAGAGAAGCAAGGACTCAGTGAAGCCCGTCTCCAGGACTAACAACTGACCAGAATGGAACCTCTGACTACTCCCTGCTGCCAGGTCACAGTGCAAACGACATCTCACCACTGCCCATCCAGATGGCCATCTGGAAAGGCTAACACGTCTTTCTGTAGCCTTAAGACAAAAAGCAGCCAGACACTCTGTCTTAAACACTGAAGCGTGCACAGACATTAGGCTGGGGAAGGCGGGAGGGGGGTGGGAGCAGGAAGGAGGGGGGTAAATGGGGAGAAAAGGAGACATCTGTAATCCTTTCAACTAAAAAACAAACAAACAAACAAACACTGAAGCATGTCACTAATAGAGAGGTGCTGTGGAGAACAAAAGAGGTACCTCACTGAAGTGTGTCTGAGTATACTACTGCCCTCAAAACCAAGCAAATGCATGGATGAAACAGACACGGAGACCCCTAGATTACTAACTAACACCAGGAGCCAGGTAACCCAAGCAAGTCACCTACTGGCACCAAAAAGCCCCATCATAAAAACAAACAAACAAAAAAACCCCATGCAGACAAGTCTGCCACCATGCACAGTGTGCCCCACCAGCAGCGTGGCCATCACCGGGGGCAAATCAGAAATGCAGCCCCTCGCCCTGGCCGGTTTGGTTCAGCAGTAAGAGTGAAGGTCCGAGGATCAGAATCTCAGGTTCGACTCCATTCAAGGGCATGTACCTTGGTTGTGGTTCGGTCCCTGGCCCTGGTCAGGGTTGTGCAGGAGGCAACCAATCAATGTGTCTCTCTAGCATTGGTGTTTCTTTCTTTTTCTCTCTCTCTCTACGCCCCTCCTCCCCATCAGAAGATAACCGGAAAAGTATCCTAGAGTGAGGATTTAACAACAACAACAACAAAATGCACCTCCTCAGGCCCCACCCAGATCCGAGAAGTCAGGATGTACTTTTCCCTGGGATGGGCACAGCCACTGCAGTCGGAGATGAATGAACCTGAGTCTGTCCATCTGCTCTGCCGTGTGGGGGCCTTCCACCCCTGGGCACACCAGAATCCTTTGAGTTTCTATAAACACCTCAGATTCTCAGTGACATAGGGGTGCTGAGGCACTGTGGCTGATACTGAGATTTCAAAGTTGCCCAGGTGATTCTAACATGCAGTCTGGGTGAGAATCTGCCACATTGTATTCAATTTTTCCAATAAATTTCTGGATCGTGGCCTATGATCTGGTTTCTTAACCCATCTGACTTTCCCATGAAAAGGGAGCTCAAACAGGAAATCAGGATGTTCCCGCCACGTATTTTAGATGTGGCCCAGTTTGAAAAGGAAGTAGAAAATACACTCCTTCAATCTTTCCTGAGCTCTGGCCCATGGAGAGCACTGCACCAGGAGAAGCACTGCACCAGGAGCAGCACTGCACCAGGAGCAGCACTGCACCAGAAGAAGCACTGCACCGGGGAGCAGCACTGCACCAGAAGCACTGCACCGGGGAGCAGCACTGCACCGGGGAGCAGCACTGCACCGGGGAGAAGCACTGCACCAGAAGCACTGCACCATGGAGCAGCAAGCACTGCACCAGACAGGCAGCAGAAGCAGTGAGATGGTGAGTTTCTGGAAACCTCTAGAAACGCGTTGTGAAATCTCACGCCAAGTGCAGACAGCTCACTGTAGGCCCTGAGCTGTGCTTAAGAGAAGCACTGTGCTGACCTGCCGGGAAGAAGCCCCAATGCAGAGAACGTCACCACAGACTTCTGAGCAATGACACCCAGACAAGTTAGCCAGTGAGGCTTTGAGCAGGGCTTATTTCTGTATCTGGAAACTCCTACCATGACTCAGTTCAGGAAAAGTCAAATTTGTTTTAGTTAATTCATCATTTCATTACAGAAAACCTGAGAGACCAAGACAAAAACAAAGAGTGGCTATTCCAAATTTTTTTTTTAAGAGACTTTCTCAAGAGAAGCGATTAAAGAACATTAGCAATATCCATCAACAAAGAAGTGTAATAAGCACGTTAGAGCAAGTATGTGTATAGGCGTGCGCACACACGCACACACTCACACCCCTCACCACTTCCCACCTGTTCACATCACAGTAAGATGGAGAAGGGCTGCCCTGGCAGGGTAGTGCAGCTAGTTAGAACATCGTCTGGATGCGCCAAGGTTTCACATTCAATCTCCAGTCAGGGCACACACAAGAGGCAACCAATGACTGCATTAATAAGTGGAACAACAAATCAATGCCCCTTCCCATTCTTCCTGTTTTTTTTTCTTTATTGATTTTAGAGAGAGAGGAAGGAAGAGGGAGAAAGAGATAAAAGATCGATGAGAGAGAACATCGATTGGCTGCTTCCTGCATGCCCCCCACTGGGGATCGGGCCCACAAGCTGGGCATGTGCCCTGACGGGGAATGGAACTAGCGACTTCTTGGTGCAGGGTCAACGCTCAAACACTAAGCCACACCAGCCATGCCTTCCTCCCTCTCTAAAATCAATAAATTAAATAAAAAACTGAGCCATGGATTAAAAAGAAAAAAACAAAATAGAAAAGGGTCTCGCAGATGCTGACAGGCTTTCTGGGGTGAGACCACATCCCTTCCACAGGTGAGGCAACCCCGAGTTCTGCTCAGAGCTGCAGGCCTTCCCACTACAACTGCAGTAAGGGGGGGCTCCCCAGGAATAAATCTTCCAGTGAGATCAAGACTAGTCCTGAGTGGGGGTCACAGACAGTGCCTTCCCACCCACAGTGACCACCACCGAACCCCTGTGAGCAGTTCACGATCTGAGACCAGAGTCTCTGCTGGGAGCGCGCTCACCTGGACTAGCTCGCTCAGCATGTCCACGTTTCTGAAGACGGTGAACCAGAACTCCGGAATCCCCTTGGGGCTGGGCTCCTCTGCTGCTGTGGATTCTTTTTCTGCTATAACTACTTTATTTTTCACATCTCCCTAAAAATCAAAGGTGCAGAAGAGAACACTTACCACAAAGCAGCACGTTAACAAACAAGCCAGTGGCGGAACGCATTCATTTCAGAATCCCACACCAACTGCTACCACAAACCCTTGCCCTCTGACTCTGCATCTCCAAGACTGCTGAGCAGGACACGGTTTCAACTGTTTCGGGGCCCAGCACTCAAGGCACTGCATCCAGACGTCACTCCACGGTACAGTGTGAGCTGGTGGAAACTAAAGCGGTCTCCACGGGCTCCGCCAGGAAAGGCCATGCAGAGCTGGCTCCACGAGGGGTCCACCTGGGGAAGACCACCCATCGCCACAAGCAGCTCCAGGGCACCAGCAAGCAGAAACTGCCAAGCACTTTGCATGTCCAAGCACAAGGAGATGGCTCTGAACGTCACATGGGACAAACGCACTGTTCAAAAACTAGGGTGGTGCCCTGGCCGGTTAGACTCAGCGGTTGGAGCGTCCACCTGCGGTCCGGAGAGGCCCGGGTTCGGTTCCCGCTAAGGGCACGTACCTTGGTTGCAGTTTGTCCCCAGCCCTGGTTGGTCGTGCGGGTGGCAGCCACTCGATGTGTCCCTTTCACATCGATGTTTCTCTCTCTCTCTCTCTCTCTCCCACTCTATCTGTACAAAAAATGGAAAAATGTCCTCGGGTGAGGATAAAAACAAACAAAAACAAACTAGGGTGGTGACCAGAAAGGCTAGGAGGCAACACAGAGACACGGGGCCCAGGGAGGGGCAAGGCAGCGCCGCACTGCACAGGCCACAGGAAGAAAGTGCTTTGTCACAGGGGACCTTGCAAGGCAGCGGGCACACAGCCTTTATAAGTCAGCAGAGGCAGATCTGTTCTCAGAAATAAGGATCTGATTCACAGCTACGCTGATCCACAGCCGTGGCTTAAAGAAGGCCAGGCTCTGCATGTTTTTAGATCAATACACATGGCCCTGGCCAGTTTGGCTCAGTGGTTGGAGCATCAACCCACAGACCAATGAGTCGCGGGTTCAATTCTGGTCAAGGGCAGTTGCGGTTCGTCCCCACCCCTGCTTGGGGTTGTGCAGGAGGCAAGCAGTCGATGTGTCTTTCTCACATAGATGTTTCTCCCTCCCACTCTATCTGATGATAAATGAAAAAATATCCTTAGGTGAGGATTAAAACAAAAAAACACATAGCTACCAAAACTAAAATGTTAAAAAAACTAAAACAAAACCCCTAAAAGTGAGTTTTACAAGATAGAAGCTTCTTGTCTCCCAAACACAAACAGGCTGACCAAGTGAACGTGCAGCATGCTGGGACGTCTGTGGCACTGCATTGGGACCCGTCACAATAAAAGGCTGTGAGCAGGTGATGGACAGGGCATGCCACTACATGGACCTGTAACCCACTGATCTAAGGTGGTGAGGCACTCTGGCCACCTCATCCTTGCGATGGCCCTCGGGCAGGGCAGAGGGCTGTTTCCAGTTCTCCCTTTTCGCCACACCCCCGCCGGCTGGTGAGCACCGACACAGGATGCTTGACTTTCCCTGGTGTTTTCACAATCTGCACATCCAATACCATACCCCTTACACTGTGCAGAGTCGCTAGAAATGACTGAGCGGGGAGACTCGTCTGGTTCATCATATTAACTGACGGGACCCGGTCAGATGCCAGGCCTGCCGGCTGTTCAGTCTTCAGCCATAAAGGAATCTAAACACCCAACCTTAGGGTGAAACAGCACCTACTTATTGTCAGGAGATCCTTTCTTTGCAGCCATATGTATCATTAGAACCACTGAAAACATTTCTCGTTGCTAACAGCACTACAACAGAACAGAGGGGGCACTCTAAGCAACTTACAGCCAGCCTGTCCTCCTCTTCGTTCTCACTGTGCCATTCTGACTCCGCGTCCGTCGGCTCAGCATCGCCAGTGACAAACTCCCTTCTCTAAGTGAGAGGGAGACCTTCTTAGTCATGTCATTCAGAATGTCAACAGTTAAGGCCGTGAGTTAGTAAACAATGTCTACGAAAAGACTGGGAAACTGGAGGCGCCCATAACTTATTCTGCGATTCAGAGTCTCGGGGCCTAGAGAGTAACACGGGACAGCCCCCTGGGTGAATGCGGATGCCCTGCCTCAAGGAAGGCCTGCGGGTGCAGCACCAGGCAGCGCCCACCTTGTCGAAGAGAGGCTGGTACAGCGCCGCGTACTTCCTCTCCAGGTCGTGCACCTCCTCGTAGAACTTGGCTTCGATGTGAGCGCACTTCACCTGAAGCTGTTTCAGTGCGTTGATTCTTCTTTTTACCGCTTTAGGTAAACTAAAGAGAGCGAGAAAGAAAACAGCCACATGCTAACACTATGGAAAAGAGCTAACACCATGCAGAAAAGGATACAGCCCAACGGGGGAAAGGTGCGGGAGAAGCTGAGAAGATAATTCACGAGATAATAAAAATAATCAAACATGGAAGAAACGTCCCATCTCATAGGAATAGACATGAAAAGAATCCCTGTCTTTTTCTCACCAAACCAGCGAACGCACGCACGCACGCACGCACGCACAACGCCAGGTCTGGGAAGGCCGAACAGAGCAGCCCTCCACGGGACTCGTCTGTCTTAAGAGCAACAAGAACAATGAAACATTCTTTGGACCCAGTCATTTTACTTCTGAGAATGTATCCTCAGGAAACAACCAAGCATTGTGTGCTGAAGTGTCCACCGATGCATTTATCACCCGTGAACGTGAACACCTGGACAGTGACATGCTGAGCAGGTGACACGAGGCCCGCCCTACTGGGAGCCACGGGCGCGCTCACAGACAGCAAGGGGAACCCCGGGGAACACGCCTGTTTCCTTCTAGTCAGAGAACTAGGAACTTCTTTGCCTTTTGATTTTCTTCTATATTCTAAAAAGTATTTTAGTTTGTAAGCATTATTTTTATACATCAGAAGGAAAAACAATTTTCAACTCATCAAAATGACTTGTTCCGTCTAAAGCTGTTGGTCACCATCTAGAAGGCAAAGCAGATTCTCGGGCCTCATCGCAGACACTCGCAGACCCACATGACCATACCGGGCAGGCCCAGCCCAGCCCTGAGTCCTCCTCCACCTGGGCTGAGCCCTGGAGCTGGCACTGGCTCTACTGTACACACCCTGCCCATCCCCCAACAACACACAGCACAGGCAGCGCCTGTGCACACTGCTTACTAAGTGCAGAGACAGCCTTGAGTCACCAGACACCCCTGGTGCCGGGCGATCATGCTCAGGCCACCCCAGGGCGAGGGTCCTTAGCAGACCCCAACAGTCGTGGAGGACAGCATGGAAGCAGCAGGGTAGGAATTTAACCAAATGGTGACATACACTAGGATCTGCACTGCTTTTTGAAATTATTTTTTAACTTCTCGTCTTCGTAACAGTAAAAATAACAAAGGACTATAAACAAACTGGCCCAGGTCTGTCTCCCCACAGCAGGCACTGCCGTGTGCCCATCCCCGCACCGTTCTAACCACTGCCCGTCTCTACAGCCAGAGCCCTGGAGAGCACTGCCACCCGCACTCTGCTCCTGCAGCTAACCCGATCCCCATGGACACCGCGTCCCCACAGACACCCAGTCACTGCAGCCACCTCACGAGTCGTCTCGCGGGGAACCTTCTCTCTTGGGCAAAGCAGACCCAAGTGTCCCCTCCCCATTCTAAGCGCCTTGGAACACATCAAGCCCTGCGTGGGTAACCATGCAGGGAATGGGACACTCTCAGACCAAGCCCAACTGACTGCCCGACAGAAGCCCAGCAGCAGCCCCTCCCTTGCAGAAGGAAGACAGCCAGGCCCAGAAGAGGCGTCCGAGGAGCCATTCCACTGGGCAATACGACCAGGACACAGACCTGCTCTGCAAAGGCAGTTTCTGCTGTTGCAGGCCCACCAGGTGAGTCAGGGGGAGTGGCTCTCAGCTGACTCAGAGCCACCAGGAAGAGAAAGAGTTCCGCCCTCACCTGGCATGTACTTGTTCCCTGCCAACTCCTTCCTGTGCCACTCGATTCAGCCTCCAATCGCCACAGGATGGCACTACGGGCTCACCTATCAGACAGCTCCCTTGCTGCGTTCTTTCTATAGGTCCGAGTCTCTCCCCCAGGCTCTGACCCGAGCAAGCCTTCATGGTTGCGACCTCGTGCCTGGCTCAGCAGGCCTGTCGCTGAATGGAAAACATACTATTCCTATTCCAAGGGAAAGGGAAACAGTTCTTTGCGCCTTGAAGTTGTCCCAGGCCCCACCCACGGCACACTTACGTCTCGATGTAGCTGGAAGGAGTGAGAGAGGCACCGTCCAGCCGTCCCTGCAAGGCCGCCAGAACTTGAGGGTTCTGCATCACCTGGTCTGAGAGTTTCTCTATTAGGAGTTAAAAACAAAGCCAAATAACTTTAAATATGCTTACCACAGAAGAGCCAAGGGTCAGAACCACCAGCACGTATCTACTTAGCCTTGTTTATCTACTTTAACTTCTAAATGTAGCCAGTGGCTTTGCTAAAAACAGGTTTTTGTGTTTTTTTTGTGTGTGTTTTTTTAAATTGATTTTATAGAAAGAAAGGAGAGAAATAGAAACACTGAGCGAATCATCAATGGGCGTCTCCTGCACGCTCCCTAATAGAGACGAGCCTGTGACCCGGGCACGTGCGCTGACTGGGAATGGAACCAGGGACACCTCCTGGTACATGGGACAATGTTCAACCACTGAAGTACCTGGCCGGGCTAAGAACGTGTTCTGAAAACATCTAAGACCTACGTTAGACGGCGCTGGTTACTCTACGTCCACGTCGCTCACTTGGGTGGGCAGTCAGAGCCTACTGCAGGCACCTAGAGATTTCCGGGTCTCACCTTGGCTGTTTGAGCCCCAGTCTCCCCACTAAGGATACTGTCACTTCTGATCACCTCGCCTTCACTCCCCAAGTCCCACGTGCGGCCCAGAAGCCAAGGACAGGGTAAGTAGAGGGACGTGCCCTTGACTGGAATTAAACTCGTGACTCATCAATACGCGGACCGACGTTCTAACCACTGAGCTAGACCGGCCAGGGCTAGAATACACATTTTTAAACAAGTGCTGGTTTTTATCTTGAGTGCCCCTTCGCCACGTGAATGGCCGAGCAGGAGCCCGCTCTGCGTGCAGACTCCCCGGTAGCCTCAGGCTCGCGGGCTCACCTGTGGCACGTGCATCTTCAGCAGCGTCCACAGAGTCTGGAGGCGCCGCATCTGAAAAGCTAGAACAATGTTAAAAAAATTACTGTAAAGAAGTTCAAATACAAATAGCACCGGGTATTCTTCCTCTTTAGCACGATAAAAGGTGCCTCAACAGTGCCAAGGGTTTGGAGGGGAACTTTGGACACGTGTTACACATGAGAGCCTTGGTTACTAAAAGTCTACCACTAACAACCCCATCATCGCCCACACGCCACCCCCAAAAGTTCTCATTTTCAACCCTGGCCAAAGCTTCTAAATTTTCATTTCTTCAACTTCTTCCTCAAAAAATCTTCTCCCTGCTCTCAAACCACACCCACTATACCCAATCAACAAGGCTCCATGGTGTGGGTGGCTGCTGACTCAAGAAAAGCCACCTTCCCAAGTGCCCACATGCCCTGTAAGTTAGCCACATGCACTCTAAAACCACCAAACCTCACAAGCATTGTCTAAGTTGTCAAAGATACCTGGACACACCTCCCTCACCAAAAATAAACCACGTAAACCGCTTTCCACAACCAAATGTGACTTTCTGAACAACCCACAAAACAGAATCTTCCACTTGACCACAGGAGGGTACGGAATGTCAGGATGGTGTCAAGTCAATCACAGGACCTCACCTGGGGAGGTTCCAGCCAGAGAGCAAAAGGATCACTTCCCACAAAAGGTTTGAAGTATCAAAATCTGGACACATTTCATGTCAGAAGCAGCACACGGGGGTGTAAAGAGCCATCAGCAGAGCTTCTGACAACGCTCACAAATGCGGCTGCCTGCTGCTCGGCAGCTGACACGTCAGCTCCAACACACAGAGTCCACAGTGCTTACCTGCTATCTGCCATCTGAGTGTCTTATCTCCTGCAAATTAAAGAAGAGGTGTAACAATTAACATCACCGAACATCACAAACGAAAACGTGTCGAATGCATCTTTCACCAGTGCTGTCTAGGGATGCGGCCTGCTTACTGGGGGGATGGAAATGTCCGAGACCTCAAATGGGGTTCTTGGCAAAACTCATCAACCCTACACTCAGGAGTCACACTTTACTCATAAAACATTTATCTTGTTGGTACTAAAATGACCAAACTTTGTAATGAAAACAACCAATCTAATTGGCCTTGTCTCTGTAAGTTTTAGTACTAGGAATAGATCTTTATGCTAGGTCAGTTATTTTAGAGCAATTCAAAGCATTTACTAGTGTGCACCTTGTCTTTCAAACACTAACTCAAGGGCGATTTCAAAGGTTATTGTTTGCTCCGTGTTCTTACTCCAACCCTGAAGCTGCAGTGCTTGTGTAAAGACACCTCATACACTCTGCACGGTCCCACTTTTTTTGTTTTGTTATTGTAGTTAATCCTCACCCCAGGATATTTTCGACTGCTTTTTAGATAGAGTGGGAAGTAAAGGGGGGGGGGGGGGAGAAACACACTGATTGTTTGCCTTCTGCAAGACCCTGATCAGGGCCAGGGATCGAATCTGCAACCCAGGTACATGCCCTTGACCGGGAATTGAACCCTTGACACTCTAACTGCTGAGCCACACTAGCCAGGGCCACATGATCCCACTTTTATAAGACAGATCAAAGTTTATCTCCAGATTAAATGACTTATACCTATAAATATTAAAGGTGTGCTCTAGAACATTTACTTCTTAAAAAGAACTTGGGCCCTGGCCGGTTTGGCTCAGCGGTTAGAGCGTCGGCCTGCGGTCCTGAGAGACCCGGGTTCGGTTCCCGCTAAGGGCGCGTACCTCAGTTGCAGTTTGTCCCCGGCCCTGGTCGGTTGTGCGGGTGGCAGCCACTCGATGTGTCCCTTTCACATCGATGTTTCTCTCTCTCTCTCTGTTCCTCTCTCTCCCTCTCACTCTACCTGAACAAAAAAAAATGGAAAAATGTCCTCGGGTGAGGATAAAAAAAAAAAAAAAAGGGGGGGGGAGGAAGTAAAAAAAAAAAAAAGAACTTGGTAATAAAATTTCAAAACCCTATCTAAATGTGTAGAGTACTTAAACGAAAAATAAAATAAAGGCTTGGTGACAAAGGTCCTTAATCTTAGATATAGTAAATACACTTCAGTCTCTCTGAAGGGTTGTTCCAGGTTGATAACTGGTCAGTTTCACCTGCAGGTATTCGAGCTCAATCCAAACCCTGTAATCACAATGCTTTAAGGTAAAACAAAAGAATAAAACTTCCATTTTTAGAAAAGCAGCTTCTGCCCTGGCCAGTTTGGCTCAGCGGTTAGAGCGTCGGCCTGCGGTCTGGAGAGACCCGGGTTCGGTTCCCGCTAAGGGCACGTACTTCAGTTGCAGTTTGTCCCCAGCCCTGGTTGGTCGTGCGGGTGGCAGCCACTTGATGTGTCCCTTCACGTCGATGTTTCTCTCTCTCCCTTCCTCACTCTCCCTCCCACTCTATCTGTACAAAAAATGGAAAAATATCCTCGAGTGAGGATAAAAAAAAAAAAAAAAGAAAAGCAGCTTCAATCGGAAATAATCTGCAACTGTCTCATATTTAACTCAACCGCATTTTTCTTGGGTAGTTTTGTTTCAAAATAAAAATGCATTATTTTTAAAATGGAAAATACCACATAAATGTTACACTAGCTTTTTCTAAAAGCTAAATGATTTAAAGAAGCAGAAGAAAACCATAAATAAAAAGTAATGCGACAAATACGCCAATGGCCGACCACCTCCACCTGGCCTTACCACACCCAGCCAAGTTACAGCAGAGTTCGAAACCCTCCCAGAGTCCCCACTGCTTCTGGACCCCAGTCACTCCACACAGAAATCCCCATTCCTACACTTTGTTTTGTTTTTTTTTTACTTTTTTTCCTTCTTTATCGATTTTTAGAGGAAGAGGAAGGGAGAGAGGGAGAGATGGAAACATCGATGAGAGAGAGCATCGACTGGCTGCCTCCCACATCCTCCCACTGGGGATCAGGCCCACAACCTGGGCATGTGCCCTGACCAGGAATCAAACCGGTGAATTCTGTGGTGCATGGGTCATCACGCAACCACTGAGCCACACCGGCCGGGCCCGGTCCCTACACCCTCTAGCTCCGTTTGCCCAACACCCATTCCCAGCTCGTGTTCCTCTGCAGTTTGCTCCGTGCACAGACCTGCACTGACAGTATCACCAAGCATACGGTCTGCTCTCCCACCTCATAAATGCAAAATGTAAGACAGGTAGTCTGACGACATCCGTAGAGCTCACACACTTACCATTTGCCGGCTGTTAATACAGTCCTGAGGGTTTCCCTCTATGATCTACCTTTGACCATGTCTACATCAGTATATATGGCTTCCCATCCCCGAGTTCTCGCTATGGCAACAGCAGGGCTGTGGGTCAGAGTACGAATGGCTGCACATTGGCCCCAGCTCCAACCTGGCTGCAGGATGAAGTCTCCGCAGTCTAACGGTGTACCCAGCAGTCCTCCCAAAGACCACATGCTCCCTGACTGCTGGAGCAAAGGCACCCACTCTCCAGAGGCAATGCCACTGCCAGCTCAGTGGACAAACTCCAGACTTCATCACCCAATCAACAGCCACCAAGCCACACACCCAATCCCCACCCCCCTGAACTAGAGAGGAACGATGTGACAGGCACTCGCCTACATGGTATACCCTCACCACTCGCCCACCAAGGGAGCACACCCGGAGTAAGGACAGAGGCTGGGAAAAGTGAACGCTGAAACGCAGGCCACCTGACTAGTAGGGTGTGGACTTGGGTTTCCGTCAACCTAAAGGAAAGGAGGTGCACGGAGAGGAGCCCGAGATCCCAGAGACAGCGTGTTCGGAACAGCACAGAAACTGCAGCTCAGCACACGCGAACGGCGGCGAGCTCCAGGTGCGCGGAAGGGCTGCCTTTCCGGGCAGAGTGCAGAAGGGGAACATCCAACCAGGGCCCAGGGCAGGCTCGCTGGCTCACAGGGGGCAGAGACTCTGGACGGCCCTCACTGGTCAGAGGACGTGCCCACCTCCTATAGACGAAGTGCTCACACGTCAGTCTCACAGACTTTCAGGCTCATCTTTCCGAGGCCACATGTGTGCTACCCTCCATCTCATGTCCTTCATTCCATTTCAGACCCGTCTCACACGCAGACCCTCCTGACCATTCCCTACCGGCCACTCCACGTCCTCCAGCCACTTCCGCCTGCTCAGCTCAGGACTGAGCTGCTGTAGGACAGATGGCACCCGGAGCCCGGCAGGGCCAGGACCAGGATCGTGCAGGTCAGCAGTATGCCCGGGAAACTGTGTGCTGAGCAGTAGTGGGAAACACTCCCTCAGCCTGTCCATTCTGCAGTCCCAGGGCCTGAAACAGCGTCTGGCACAATAAACATGCTGAGTGAGTCAACACCCTATTGCAGACATAGGCCAGAGTTTCGCTGCCCATGTAATGAGACCACTCCAATGTAATAAACCCCATTGACACAACGATGCACTAATTTCCATCTATGAGAAAGTATGTGCTATTTTTTAGTCCTATTTTTGATGACATGATGGTAAAACAGTTAAATTAAACTGAATACAACATTCTAAAAAAAAAAAAAAAAAAAAGCTAAATCAAGGACAGAAACAGAAAAACAAACAATAGAATGAGTTTAAGCAATTGAAAGACAGCAACAAGCCCAGCACCCATTGTCTAGAACAAAGCTGACACTCTCTGCAGACAACCTGACTGTGATCTGGGTCCGAGTCCTGTCCTCACTTCTCCTAGCCCTGCGATCTCATGTCCAACGTCCATGCACTGCAGACAGAACACTGGGTGAAGCGCCCCGCCCCGCCCCACTCTGAACAGCAATGTGCTTCCAGAGCACTGCACCTGCTGCCTGACGGGACAACGGGTCCCGGCACTCTAAGCACTGCTCCCTTTACCTAAGAGAGATGACGCAGTGATGGCATTATAAATAAGCTGGCGTTCAATCAGTGAGTTTCAACAACACAAATTACTTACTTGTGTTTAGCAATCCCTATCTACTACAGTTAAAATAGAAAGTTACAGGGAAACACCTAATTTTTAGGTTTGGGAAATATAACCATCCATTTATTTTAAATATTATTATGCCGAGTTTAACATCAATTTTATGAAACCACAGCCCCAAGCCCCATCAGAAGGTGTTCCTACCTCTAAAAGGTAATCAAGTTAAGAGATGAAAGAGATACCAGGCAAAAGAATATTCTAAAGTTTCCAAAGAATGCCTGCAATTCTGAGTGTGGGCTGCACGCACACTCCCATGAGTGCACAAGTAAATGCTTTGCTTCACTGATCTAACTCACAATCCTACTTATAAATTGACTTATTTTTACCCCAAACAATAAAACTTTTGAGGGAGAAAAAATTTTTAATTTTTGTGGCAAATTATCCAACATAACATTAAATCCTTAATTTTAAACTGAAAAAATCTAGTCTACAGCTAGAGTAATTATATTACTTCAAATTGAGCCACTTGTGAGAGAGAAAGAAGGCGTGAGCTGGGAAATATAACCAAAATTTTTATACGTCTATCATATCTTAATCAAGTCAAAGGTCTCCAATGTCTTCCCATGAGATAAATGAATTAAGTGTAACTTAAATGGAATCAATGTTTCTGTAAGACCTTGAAGCCCCACTGCAGCCCCTACTTTCATTAAAGGTGGTAGTTGAGTAACCCTGCAGCGTAACTGCTAGGCTCACGTAAGGGAAGGATGGTGACCCCTCTGTCAACCTAAGCAGCCCCATCAGCCCCAGGGTCCAGGTCCAAACCTCCAGCAGCACCACTCAGGTTGGCTGAGGGCTGAGGAGCCACCTGTTCTAAGAAGGAATCAGGACACCCATGTAGGCCATCCACCGTATCCACCCACAAAACTTGGCCAATACACGCAGTCCCGAGACACCCCAATCTCACTGACATTGCTTTGATCAGTAGATTCTTTATCCAGTCTATCACTACATTCCTTAGTATTAGAAGATAACTGTGTGAGAATCAATATGCCAGAAGCAAAGTGAAAACAAACCTAAGGAACCAAATAACTTACAGAAGTTTCTGAATGAATGGTAAACGTTCTCGCTTAAACATAACCTTCACTTACACTTGTAATCTCTTAACAATTAAAAAAACAGGTGTTCAGATCCTAAACTCACAAAGAAATCTTGAAATTATGTTCAAATTGATTTCAATTGTATGTTAACAACTGATAATCAAATTTAATATATGCGCACTTCCTTCTTTCGGCATTTATCAAATATTTTAATTTTTAAAAGTGCTTATATGTTCACAGATGAACTAAAGCTGGCAACTAGTGAATCAATGCCACTCTGTATTAGGTGCAGAGACCACTACTTTCATGTGCGTTCAAAACTACTTCTTACCATTTTCTTTTTGGTTAATCCTCATCCGAGGATATTTTTCCATTGATTTTTAGATAGAGTGGAAGGGAAGAAGGGAGGGGGTAGAGGGGGAGGAAGAGGAGAGAAAGAAACATAGATGTGAGAAAGACACATCAATTGGTTGCCTCCCAAATAAATGTGCCCCAACCAGGGCCGTGGATCAAACCTGCAACTCGGGTACATACCCTTGACCAGGAACCGAACCCGCCACCCTTTGGTGCACGGGCCGACGCTCTAATCACGGAGCCACACTGGCCAGGGCTCCTTCCTACCACGTTTTAAGAAAAGAACTGCCTCCCGCTGAAGAACAAGCTCCGTGAGGGCAGGGACCTGTCGCCTTGCTCAGCACAGCAATGCCCGTGCCCAGCAAGGGGCTTGGCAGGAGACAGTGGTCAAGCATCTCTGCTCCACTCGCTCGGGCGCTGCTGCGGAGTGAGTCTGCCCTGTGTTACCTAGGTAGACCAAGGCTTCAGGGACCCTCGGACACCTAGCTTCTCCCAAGCACTTTCTGAGGACACACAGGAGGCCATGTCTGCTTACGAGATCGAGCTGCCACCAGACAAGAGTGATCTGTCTTTTTACAAACTTGCTAGAATCCAAGCCCTGTTTTCTAGAAGAAAGTAAAAACAATTTCCTTTCCTTAACCAAAACACTCAATTTTTACTCAAAGCACAGCAGGTCTTCATTGCTATAGCTCCAGTTTCCTCCTGTGCTCTCTGTTCTCTGCAACTCATTAGCATATGGCTGAATAAGACAAACATTTAAAAGTTTTTCTTAATCTAGTACTTAAAGATCTTGTCTAGTATTTAAAGATCTTGTCACCCTGTCAGTAAGACCTTTCCCTCTTTTTTAAAAAAAATATGTTATTGACTTTTTTAGAGAGAGGGAGGGAGAGAGAGAAACATCAATTGGCTGCCTCCTTCAATCCCCTATCAGGGATCCATCCCACAAGCTGGGCACGTGCCCTGACCTGGAATCGAACAGGGACCTCTCAGTCCATGGGACGCTCAATCCACTGAGCCCCACGGGCCCGGTAAGGCCTTTCCCTCTTCGCCCTATTTAAAATCACAACCCCAACTCCCTATTCCTTCTCTGCTTTTCTTCTCAAAAGCACCTACACCATCCAATTTGTCTGTTTCCCACTGTGAAAACAGGAGGGAAAGGTCCCCTGTTTTATTCAGTGTGATATCCCAGTACCCACCCAGTACACACAGATGGTGCTCACGACAGACTGAACAGAGTTGCAAAGCATTGAAAGCTACTTTGTAAACAATGTTGACAATGATAACTGGGTAAACAATGTTTTAAATCAGAACACAACTGCAGCTTATAACCTTTCTACACAAAGATTTAAAGTGTAAAGATGATCTTCCTACCACAAAACTATTAAGCAGAAATTTCATCTTGATTTTGAACAAGCTTTTTGGGGATAATAATAAAATGAACAGTGCATTATAAAAAATTATTAAAAAGGGTCCCACAGACCCAGACTGGAAGCACACTTAGTCACAACAGCTGACAGAGCACACTTGTAAGAAGGAATTTAAGGCTACACATGGTCAAGATCAAAAGGTAAAAATCACAAAGTGACCATTTATAGTTTTCTTACTACAAAAATACATTGCCTCTCCAATTACTAAATGCTCATGAAATTTAAATTTCAACGGCAAACAAAGTAAAGTGGCCCTGCTCTCTCTGAAGAGGGCAGGGTGGAAAACCAATGGCCTTCAGATAAAAAAACAATTTACACCATCATAAACTTTTTTTTTTTTTTTAAACCTTCACCAGGGACACGTTTTTATTAATTTTCAAGAGGGAGGAAGGGGGGAAGGGGGAGAGAGAGGGAGAGAGACAAAGACAGAAAGAAAGAGAAACATCAACTGGTTGCCTCCTGCATGCATTCTGACAGGGCATGGAGCGCAACCTGGGTATGTACTCTGGCTGGGCATTGAACCCATGACCTTTTGGTGTACCGGATGACGCTCCAACCAACTGAGTGAGCCATACCAACTAGGGCATAAAACTATTTTTTCTTTTTTTTGAATCTGTAACAGTCAAACACAAAAATGTTCACTGCCCATTAACAAGGGTTTTCCCAGTTACTATTGCTCATGGACAAATCTCCCAATTGCAGCTTAGGGGACAAGTATTTGCTAGACTAGGAAATACCATGCAAAGTAAGCTTAAGGCCAAATTTCCTGCAATGATTCCACATTAGCTACTTCCTACTTCTAAAATCATCCTGGTGGTAGAGCAGTCAGATTAGATAACATTAGCCTTTCACTCTGGATGCCTACATACAATTTCCCTTCTACAAACAACAGAAAAGTGAGCACTCCTTAAACAGCAACATCAGACCTGACTCCCGTCCCTCACTGCCGCCTCCGTATCAAGTGCAGCCATCACCAGTGAGGGCACCGAGCACACGGTACCGGGTTTAGCTGACAGTCCCCGAAACTCTGGGGATTTCAATCACGCTCCCACCCACAGATACTATTCCCCCAAAACAAACAAACAAATTTAGGTTCTCTGAAAACAGGAGCTTACCAGAAACAGCTCTGAAACATTTGAAAACTGGAAACAATGAATAGCAAACAAAAGAAACACTCTAAAAATAAGTAATTCTGAACTCCTCTATGCCTTCTTTATGTGTAAGTGTGAGGTTACCTCCTGCGGCTAAGAAGAAAACGCAAGACTTCAATCCTAACCACCACAGCTGGTCGGAGAACTGCAGATGCAGGGAGCTGGCATGCTCCTGGTACCAAGAGGCTACTAAGCTCC